GTGTGGTGGCCGGGTATGCCCAATTAAGCCACCGCCTTGCTGTTGTTTTGCCGGCCGCCGCGGCACCGCCAGGCACCGCACAGTGGGCCAGAAACCGGCGGAGGCGGCCAAAATTCCAGACGCGTTTTGAGCTCCAGAGTCACTCGATCCGAGCTTGTGACCCCACCAATGGATTCCTCGTGCGGAGAGCAATTCATTGATGGGGTCACTTGTTCGGTTCGAGTCCCATTTAGCGACTCTGGAGCTCAAAACGCGTCTCGAATTTCGGCCCCTGCCGCCGGTTTCTGGCCCACTGCGCACCGCCTTGCTCGACGCGCGAACGCACTCTGCGAGTCACGGGCCCCATTGTTATTCACGTGCAGCGGCGCTCCATCGGTTTCCGTTAATTCGTCGGTTGGCTTTGTTTTAAGAGGGGCCCGCTAACGAGCTGTATAACGAGAAACCCCTCGGAAAAAGGGGGGGGGGACAAGGAACTGACCAACCCGTCCGTCTGTGTCTGCCCGGCGGAGGCCACTGGCATCAGATGTATCTTTGTTGTACGCATGTGGTGGCAGCAGTGACGAACCAAAAAAAATAATTTCGGCGGGTATCGAACCCGGGCGGGTACGTCGGAGTCGAGAACGGAGACACTGAGCCAATGTAAGCCAACCTGACGTGGATGGTCGATAGGTTGCCTACCTTGAGCCTGTATCTCAATGTGTGTGTGTGTGTGTGAGAGAGAGAGAGAGAGAGAGAGAGAGAGAGAGAGAGAGAGAGAGAGAGAGAGAGCCTTATTCTGAGGTCGCGAAGCACCGCAGTCCGCCAGGACGTCCTCACGAGCCGCCGCGCCCATAACTCAGCCCGCCCCCTCGAAGAATCCTTCCTCGCTGCGTGTCTGCGGCGTGCCTGCGGCGTGCCTCCCTCCAGGACCTCCAGGAAGTCCTTTCCCGCGTCGCCTTCTTCTGACTTCCTTCCGCTTCACTGTTAAAAATTGATGTTCTAAAACAACAACACAATTACCAACCTCGACAACGCTGTTGTTTGTGAACAAGTTTGCTTGTTTTAAAACAACGAATTCGTTGCTAATTATTTTTATGACTTATGCTGTTTCAAAACAATATTTTGCTGCGTACAAACAACCCGGACAATCTAAGAAGTTGTTACTGCGAGTAACCGGGGCTCTACTAGGTCTTCGACCTAATCGGCAATAAAAATTGATGCAAATAAGGCTGTCTACCGGTTTACAAACGTCTTGTGGACGAACGACGCAACTCGTTAGTAAACAACGAAAGTCATTTGAAAACAACTTTGATCATTAAGAAAATTAGCAACATATTTTTTGTTAAATTACAACATAATTTTTAACAGTGTTCATTCCTGCCGCCGTGGCCTTCGCGATGTCGTTTACAAGCAAGTCTTCACCTTGCTCGAGTGCGGCGCACAGTGGAGTGGATTCGCCAGAGGAGGCGGTTACAATCCCGGACGCGTTTTGAGCTCCAGAGTCACTAAACAGGACTCAAACCGAACGTGTGACCCCACCAATGAATAGCTCTCCGAACGAGCAATCCATTGGTGGGGTCACACGATCGGTTCGAGTTCTGTTTAGCGACTCTCCCCTGACAAACTGAGGGCCAGGTCAACTCGGGGGTAACTCGGGGGTAACTCAGGGGTAACTCGGGGGTAACTCGGGGGTAACTCAAGGGGAAGTCGGGGGGAACTCGGGGGGAACTCGGGGGGAACTCGGGGGGAAGTCGGGAGGAACTCAGGGGCAAGTCGGGGGGAACTCAGGGGGAACTCGGGGGGAACTCGGGGGGAACTCGGGGGCAAGTCGGGGGGAACTCAGGGGTAACTCGGGGGCAAGTCGGGGGGAACTTGATCGACTCGCCCAAACACTAGAAATACGCTCCAAACTAGCACCGTTGCCTTTGTCTCGTTGCCCCGATTCCAAAAGTGCCCCTACTTGCCCCTCTAGCTCAGCGGTTCCCAACCTTGGGGTCGCGACCCCAAATGGGGTCGCGAAAAAATTTTGAGGGGTCGCGGCGAGGTGGCTGGGGTCGCCTGGGGTCGCGGTGGTTTCCCGGCTGGCCCACACGCCGAGCACTGGCTGCTTGAATGCCGCAAAGTTGATCAAAACTGTCACAAATGTGTGTAAAAGATCGTGTTTTGGGTCGACTTTAAGCATCCACTGCTTCTGATCTGAGGCGGTAAATCGCCCTCCCTCAACGGGCAATTGGTCTTTGGACCTTCCTTTTGCATGCCTTTGTTACGGAGTGCAATTATCTGCCTCAGTTTGGAAGCAGTACTGCCGCAAAGTTGGTCTAAACAGTCACAAATGTCTGTGAAAAATCGTGTTTTGAGCCGACTTTAAGCATCCACTGCGTCTGATCCGAGGCGGTAAATCGCCCTCCGTCAACGGTCAATTGGTCTTTAGACCTTCCTTTAGCATGCCTTTGTTACGGAGTGCGATTATCTGCCTTAGTTTGGGAGCAGTTTTGCCGCAAAGTTGATCAAAACGGTCACAAATGTCTGAAAAATCGTGTTTTGATCAACTTTGTGGCAAAACTGCTCCCAAACTAAGGCAAATAATCGCACTCCGTAACAAAGGCATGCTAAAGGAAGGTCTAAAGACCAATTGCCCGTTGACGGAGGACGATTTACCGCCTCAAATCAGACGCAGTGGATGCTTAAAGTCGGCCCAAAACACGATTTTTCAGACATTTGTGACCGTTTTGATCAACTTTGCGGCAAAACTGCTCCCAAACTAAGGCAGATAATCGCACTCCGTAACAAAGGCATGCTAAAAAAAGGTCTAAAGACCAATTGCCCGTTGACGGAGGACGATTTACCGCCTCGGATCAGACGCGGTGGATGCTTAAAGTCGGCCCAAAACACGATTTTTCACAGACATTTGTGACTGTTTAGACTAACTTTGCGACAGTACTGCTTCCAAACTGAGGCAGATAATTGCACTCCGTAACAAAGGCATGCAAAAGGAAGGTCCAAAGACCAATTGCCCGTTGAGGGAGGGCGATTTACCGCCTCGGATCAGAAGCAGTGGATGCTTAAAGTCGACCCAAAACACGATCTTTTACACACATTTGGGACCGTTTTGATCAACTTTGCTCGGCGTGTGGGCCAGCCGGGAAACCACCGCGACCCCAGCCACCTCGCCGCGACCCCTCAAAATTTTTTCGCGGCCCCATGGGGTCGCGACCCCAAGGTTGGAAACCGCTGAGCTAGAGGGGCAAGTAGGGGCACTTTTGGAATCGGGGCAACGAGACAAAGGCAACGGTGCTAGTTTGGAGCGTTTTTTTAGTGTTTGGGCGAGTCGATCAAGTTCCCCCCGACTTGCCCCCGAGTTACCCCTGAGTTCCCCCCGACTTGCCCCCGAGTTCCCCCCGACTTGCCCCCGAGTTCCCCCCGACTTCCCCCCTAGTTCCCCCCGACTTGCCCTTGAGTTCCCCCCGACTTCCCCCCGAGTTCCCCCCGAGTTCCCCCCGAGTTCCCCCCGACTTCCCCCCGACTTCCCCTTGAGTTACCCCCGAGTTACCCCCGAGTTACCCCTGAGTTACCCCCGAGTTACCCCCGAGTTGACCTGGCCCTCAGTTTGTCAGGGGCTGGAGCTCAAAACGCGTCCAGAGTTTTGGCCGCCTCCACCGGTCTTCTAGCCCACTGTGCCCCGCAGGGGATTCAGTTAGCAACAGAGCCCTTGATGCCGGATGGCCGGCTGCCTGCACTTCGCTTCGGACTAGTCAGCTAGCTGGAGGAAGGAAGGGAACCCTGCCACTCTAGGGCTAAAAGTCTTAATAAGTAAAAAGGAATAAAAAGGAAAACAACGAGACATAAAATTGAATTTAAAATGACTGGGCTCGTTGGGAGTTGAACCACTGCCGCAGCACTTGTCGGTCGCTCAAGGAAGGGTTCGCCCCACTGCGATTTCGGAACGTTGTGTGCGTCCTGCCCAAGGTCCTGCCAACCGCTATTGCATAAAACTTTTCCCCCGATTAACTGCACTGTGCGGCCCACATCGTCCTTATTGGGGTTATGTGGCGCCTTGCGTGACCCCAGTCAGAGAGGGAGAGAGAGAGAGACCACTAGGGGATTTCTAAAGCGAAAGTCAATGCGAGGAGAAGCAGGAGCAAGCAGCCACGCCCGCCTCATTTTTATATTTTTAATTTTTTTGAAGTACTTGCATGTTGCGTCATTGCCTTTTGGACGCCTTACCGCGGCGTGGGCCCAGTCGCCATGGTGCTCGCCTTCGTGACGACGGACGCAGGAGACCTCCACGCCCCGCCGGCCGGCCAGCCGCTCGGCCTGTGCCGCACAGTGGGCCAGAAGACCGACGGAGGCGGCCAAAACTCTACACGCGTTTTGAGCTCCAGAGTCGTTAAACAGGGCTCGAACCGAACGTGTGACCCCACCAATGGATTGCTCTCCGAACGAGGAATCCAAAGATGGGGTCACACGTTCGGTTCACTGTGCACTGTGCAGCCCCTGCTCCCCGTTTTCCTGTAATTTTGTGGCCTGACCGGCCGCGGTGCCGCCAGTGGCACCGTCATTGGGAGCGTTGCGTGATCGCTCCCCCGGGACCATCGGGGCCATCCCGGAGGGCCATCTCGCCACGCCACTGCGAGCCTCCGCTCCCATTTGCAGATTATTCCCTCTTCCCGGTGCACAGCCAGGGGCAAGGATAGCAGATTCACTGTGAATGTCTCACCGTCAAATTCAAGTTCACAGTGTATTCAGAGCAAACAACGCAAAAGGTTTCCAAGCCGCTTCGAGGAGCTTTGAAAACCGCCCCGAAAGCGCTCGATGTGGAAAAGCAACGATTCCTTCTTCCATGCACATTATAACTTCGCGAATTGCTTTGACGATGTCTCCCTTCTGTTGCAGACGATGGCGGGGACGACGACTCGGACGGCGACGGCCCGAACGACCCCGGAGGGGGCCCGGGAGGGGGGCCGGGCGGGGGCCCGGGCGTTGCCGGGGGGTGGGTGCGCCCCCCAGGCAGCCCCGCCTCGCTCAGCTACCCCCTGAGCCCCCTGGGGCTGGTCGCCGGGGGCATGGGGGGCATGGGGGAGACCAGGCTGGACCTGGGGGGCTTCGACGGCGAGCCCGAGCTGCAGCCCAGGAAGTCGAACATGTTCCTGGACAAGCCGCGCCTCCCGGAGAAGAACGTCAAGGTGAGTGTCTGTCTGTCTACCTGTCTGTCTGTCTGTCCGTCCGTCTGTCTGGCTGGCTGGTTGTCTGTCTGGCTGGCTGTCTGTCTGTCTGTCTGTCTGGCTGGCTGTCTGGCTGTCTGTCTGTCTGTCTGTCTGGCTGGCTGTCTGGCTGGCTGACCACACCAACTCCCTGCGAACACCACTCGAGACGCTCCGTCCCGCGCGAGGAGGCCGCCGCACAAAACTCAAACGCCATCGCCCGGAAGGTTGGGTCGGAAAAGTTGCTACAGTGGCGAACGCCCACTGCCGCGCCCCCGTCTTGTGCTGCTCAGTGCCAACGTGCCGGCGGTGCGTCCGTTAAGTTGGGGCCAGGAGTGCCAACCCATCGTCCGCATCGCGCAAGCGGACGGATGATAAATAATGAAAAAAACAATACATGCTTCCGTGGAAAATCTAAAGAAAATAACAAGCCAGGGATTGAATTTCTTCTCGAAGGAATTGTTGCCAACCGATCCAACAAAGCGCGGATCTCCAAGTTGGGGCAGGTTGTCGCCTCTAGACGGGCCTCACCTGCGACTCTCTGGCCGAGCCCCGCCGATATCTTAACGCCTTAAGGGCTTAACGGCTGAGTGGCAAACGGTGCCGACACGGGCTTCCCTAAGCCCCCCCCCCTCCCGGACCCCACTGGGCCGCAACCAAAGCGGCCACGGCTTCTGTTTGGATCCGTTAACCGCCAAACCAAGCAATTCAATCAGGACACACTTCGAAAAAACAGAGGCACTGCTGTTTCTGTCCCACACTGCATTGACTGCACCCTCTTCAAAAATCTTTTCAAAACATTTCGAGGGGTCTGACACGAGCGAAGTGGCATTTACGGATTCATTTTCCTCTGTGGATGACAGTTTCCGGAAACAAACAACAACAAAATGAAGCAAAACATTTTGCATGCTTAGTGATTGCGCCACGATCACTTACGGGCACTCCCGGCGATCGACACTCGAATTGGAAAATAAGACAACCACGTGTCTTTGTGTGGGTGTGTGTCGGTGTGTGTGTGTGTGAGAGAGGGGAGGGGGTTTGTGAATACACATCAGGCGGGCGGGGCATTTGATGGGCCAATACAGTGCTGCAGGCATGGCCAGGCCGTGCCGGGGATGCGAGACCCACCGTAAAGTGCGGAACAGGGCCCTATCGCCTTACGGCCCACCGCGTGAAGAGAAGGGGGGAGACAGGCCCACACTCACAGGGACGCATTCCAACGCGTTCACAGTCATACGCGCGCGTAGGGAGTGTTTTACACACACACGCACGCACCGAGGCCTACACTAGATGCTTATAAGACGCGCCGCCCCTCCATTTTTGTTATTTCTTCCCTTTTTTTCAATATCCCTTTCCCTGTTCTCTTTCTTCTTTTTTGGGCCCCGCGGGCGCACGATATGATGGCTCTCTAGAGAGTGACGAGGGCAATCTTTTGCGGCGCCCCGCCCCGCCCCGCCCCCGTTGAGCATTGTGGCGTGGCGGGGCGTGGCTGCCCCATCCCCCTGACTTAAAACCGTCGCAGGGAGCGCTGCGGTCGCGTGTGGGGAAGTTACATCATGTCGCCACCCGGGGGACCGCGCCCTGGCCGCCCCGCCCCGCCCCGCTCCGCCCCGCCCCGCCCCGCCCCGCCCCGCCCTTGCAAACAGCCCCTACCCCGCCGATGTTGACTCGCCATACGGCGGGCAGCACACGTGGGAGACGGCCTGCACGGCCTCCACGATGCAACCGCTGCGACGGGTACTTTACAGTGTGGCACACACCGCGCTGCGCGTGTACTGCGCACTGCGTTCCGAGCCCCGCAGCACAGTGGATTTGCCAGAAGACCGGGAGGCGGCCGAAACTCTAGACGCGTTTTGAGCTCCAGAGTCGCTAAACAGGACTTGAACCGGACGTGTGACCCCACCAATGGATTCCTCGTTCGAAGAGCAATCCATTGGTGGGGTCACACGTTCGGTTCGAGTCCTGTTTAGCGACTCTGGAGCTCAAAACGCGTATAGAGCTCCGGCCGTGAATGCCCAAGCAGTCCCTACATTAAACACACCTAGCCCTGAGAGAAGGGGCAAAGAGCGGGGCTCCTCAACAGGTGGAAGTACCAGGGCGTTCATTTAGAAAATCATTTCGAGGACTGCCGGCTTGCCTGGCCCCACCCCACCAGTTGAATGGCCCGCAGAGGTCTTGCCGACAGACTCCCAGACTGATTCCGCGCAGCTTTTCGTCGCCCTCTCTCTCTCTCTCTCTCTCTCTCTCTCTCTCTCTCTCTCTCTCTCTCTCTCTCTCTCTCTCTCTCTCTCTCTCTCGCACACACACACACACACAGACACACACACACATGGGGCGCCCCGTGAGTGCGAGAGAGACAGAGTGGTCACGAGGGTTCGACGTCCGCGCAGCTGTTGCCTGCACTGCAAGCTTGCATCACGGACGTTCCGTCCTTTTTCCGTACCTCCGTCCTGTATTCTTCTGTATATTTTCCGTCCGAAACTCCACGGAATTCTTTTCCAGTGCCGGTAACGCGACGGCCTGTCTGTTGCAGCGGCACAGCATCCACGGCATGATGGAGGAGGAGAACGTGGTGCGGCCCCACCAGGAGATGAAGCAACTCTCGCTGGACGAGAAGAAGTTTCTGCTGGCGGTGGAGCGCGGCGACGTGGCGTCCACGCGCAGGTGAGTCTTCCTCCCTCGCACGCACAGTGGGCCGGAAGACCGGTGGAGGCGGCCGAAACTCTAAACGCGTTTTGAGCTCCAGAGTCGCTAAATGGGACTCGAACCGAACGTGTGACCCCACCAATGGATTGCTCTCTGAACGAGGAATCCATTGGTGGGGTCACACGCGCGGTTCGAGTCCCATTGAGCGACTCTGCAGCTCAAAGCGCGTCTAGGGTTTTGGCCGCCTCCACCGGTCTTCTGGCAGACCCTCTGTAAGACAGGACGCCCCGCGAGAGACCCGGCCCGCCGAGCATGCCTGTCTTGCGGGTGGCCTAGCTCGCGTATCGCAGCCCCTGACAAACTGAGGGCCAGGTCAACTCGGGGGTAACTCGGGGGTAACTCAGGGGTAACTCGGGGGTAACTCAAGGGGAAGTCGGGGGGAAGTCGGGGGGAACTCGGGGGGAAGTCGGGGGAACTCGGGGGGAAGTCGGGGGAACTCAGGGGCAAGTAGGGGGGAACTCGGGGGGAACTCGGGGGGAACTCGGGGGCAAGTCGGGGGAACTCAGGGTAACTCGGGGGCAAGTCGGGGGGAACTTGATCGACTCGCCCAAACACTAGAAATACGCTCCAAACTAGCACCGTTGCCTTTGTCTCGTTGCCCCGATTCTAAAAGTGCCCCTACTTGCCCCTCTAGCTCAGCGGTTCCCAACCTTGGGGTCGCGACCCCAAATGGGGTCGCGAAAAAATTTTGAGGGGTCGCGGCGAGGTGGCTGGGGTCGCCTGGGGTCGCGGTGGTTTCCCGGCTGGCCCACACGCCGAGCACTGGCTGCTTAAATGCCGCAAAGTTGATCAAAACGGTCCCAAATGTGTGTAAAAGATCGTGTTTTGGGTCGACTTTAAGCATCCACTGCTTCTGATCCGAGGCGGTAAATCGCCCTCCCTTAACGGGCAATTGGTCTTTGGACCTTCCTTTTGCATGCCTTTGTTACGGAGTGCGATTATCTGCCTTAGTTTGGGAGCAGTTTTGCCGCAAAGTTGATCAAAACGGTCACAAATGTCTGAAAAATCGTGTTTTGGGCCGACTTTAAGCATCCACTGCGTCTGATCCGAGGCGGTAAATCGTCCTCCGTCAACGGGCAATTGGTCTTTAGACCTTCCTTTAGCATGCCTTTGTTACGGAGTGCGATTATTTGCCTTAGTTTGGGAGCAGTTTTGCCACAAAGTTGATCAAAACACGATTTTTCAAACATTTCTAACCGTTTTGATCAACTTTGCGGCAAAACTGCTCCCAAACTAAGGCAGATAATCGCACTCCGTAACAAAGGCATGCTAAAGAAAGGTCTAAAGACCAATTGCCCGTTGACGGAGGACGATTTACCGCCTCGGATCAGACGCAGTGGATGCTTAAAGTCGGCCCAAAACACGATTTTTCACAGACATTTGTGACTGTTTAGACCAACTTTGCGGCAGTACTGCTTCCAAACTGAGGCAGATAATTGCACTCCGTAACAAAGGCATGCAAAAGGAAGGTCCAAAGACCAATTGCCCGTTAAGGGAGGGCGATTTACCGCCTCGGATCAGAAGCAGTGGATGCTTAAAGTCGACCCAAAACACGATCTTTTACACACATTTGGGACCGTTTTGATCAACTTTGCGGCATTTAAGCAGCCAGTGCTCGGCGTGTGGGCCAGCCGGGAAACCACCGCGACCCCAGGCGACCCCAGCCACCTCGCCGCGACCCCTCAAAATTTTTTCGCGACCCCATTTTGGGTCGCGACCCCAAGGTTGGGAACCGCTGAGCTAGAGGGGCAAGTAGGGGCACTTTTAGAATCGGGGCAACGAGACAAAGGCAACGGTGCTAGTTTGGAGCGTATTTCTAGTGTTTGGGCGAGTCGATCAAGTTCCCCCCGACTTGCCCCCGAGTTACCCCTGAGTTCCCCCCGACTTGCCCCCGAGTTCCCCCCGAGTTCCCCCCGAGTTCCCCCCGACTTGCCCCTGAGTTCCCCCCGACTTCCCCCGAGTTCCCCCCGACTTCCCCCCGAGTTCCCCCGAGTTCCCCCCGAGTTCCCCCCGAGTTCCTCCCGATTTCCCCCTTGAGTTACCCCCGAGTTACCCCCGAGTTACCCCTGAGTTACCCCCGAGTTACCCCCGAGTTGACCTGGCCCTCAGTTTGTCAGGGGAGGCGCTGTAGTCGGTACACGTGAAACGCCCGAAAATTGGACACACTTTGAAAAGACGGTAAACAGTCGTGGTAAGTCAAAAGTTAATAAAACCATTGTCTGGACAAAATTGTGATGACTGTGTTTGAATTAAATGGTGGGGCAGCATCCCCGCGCCGCGTCTCGACTCGCGTCCCCGCGAAGAGGATAGAGACAGCGCGATGTTCGACTCGACCAGCGCCGCTCGGCGCCTGTCACCGACAGACGGACTGAGGCTCTCAAAATCTCGAAACGCGGCTGTCCGCGCCAGGCTCTGCTACTCGCGCCGCGACTCGCAGTGCCCGCCACACTGGGGGGAGTACTGCTCGTTAGTTCGTGGGGGACAGGGGGAGGGGTAGCTGTTTTGGCAGTGCACAGCAGGCCAGCAGACCGGTGGTTCTAAATCCCCCACGCGTTTTGAGCTCCAGAGTCGCTAAATGGGACTTGAACCGAACGTGTGACCCCACCAATGGATTCCTCGTTCGGAGAGCAATCCATTGGTGGGGTCACACGTTCGGTTCGAGTCCCATTCAGCGACTCTGGAGCTCAAAACGCGTCTCGAGTTTTGTCCGCCTCCACCGGTCTTCTTGCCCACTGTGCAGTGGAGGGACGGCGGCAGTGTGTTTGGGTGGCGCCGGGGCGGCGAAGGGTGTGCCCGTTGAGTGAAGTGGCTCACTTCGTACAAAGTGCCGCCTGTGTGTGTGTGTGTGTGTGGGGGGAGAGAGCGAGAGAGAGAGAGAGAGGTGGGGGGGGGGGAAAGGGGCATGTGGTCTGAGTGCCGCACGCGGACTCGTCTTCCTCTCGGGACGCACAGAGAGGCTCAATTTTCCGTCTGGGAGGGGCAGGGGCGAGGGGAGGGGCGCCGCACCGCCACGCAGCCGGAGATGCAAACGTACCAACAGGATGAAACAAAAAAATTATTAAAAAGAGGAAAACTGTATAAATAATGAAGAAAGCGCGCGTTACTCGGGATGAGCGACAGAGAGAGAGGAGAGAGAGACAGAGAGAGAGCAAGCTTCATCACGAATGAGAGGCGCTTCAGTAATTTGACGTGCGCCTCGGAAAGCCACGAACGCGCCGAGGGAGAGAGAGGAAGAGAGAGAGGAGAGAGAGAAGGAGTCTTTGGATCCTCAAGGCGCCGACGTATCCGCTCCCTGGAAGCCCCTGGCAGCCTCCCTGCACATGCATCACCGGCGTATCACTGCGGGGTTCGTCATCCCCGTCTCTCTCTCTCTCTCCCGTGCCGAGCAATAGTCCCGCCTCTTCGCTCTTCCTACTTCTTGCCAAATTTTGCGTGTCCGTCCTGTTCCGCGAGGCGATCCCGACCCGGCAGACTGCGTCCGGACTGCGCCGTGCTGTCTCTCTCTCTCTCTCTCTCTCTCTCTCTCTCTCTCTCTCTCTCTCTCTCTCTCTCTCTCTCTCTCTCTCTCTCTCTCTCTCTCTCTCGCTCGCTCGCTCGCTCTCGCGGCGTCGCGGTGCGACAGAGACAGGGTGAGACTCCGTCCGCAGCGATTGCCCGCCAGCCCTTTCTGGGAGAGGAGACTGTGGACCATTGTGAGTAGTCAGCAGGCCGCTCGACAAAGGCGAAGGCTGCCGCGAACTGCCGTGGCACAGTGGGCTAGAAGACGGGAGCAGGCGGATAAAACTCTAGACGCGTTTTGAGCTCCAGAGTCGCCAAACAGGACTCGAACCGGACGTGTGACCCCACCAATGGATTCCTCGTTCGGAGAGCAATCCATTGGTGGGGTCACACGTTCGGTTCGAGTCCCGTTTAGCGACTCTGGAGGTCAAAACGCGTCTAGAGTTTTGGCCGCCTCCACCGGTCTTCTGGCCCACTGTGCGTGGGGCCAGACCTCGCTCTGTCTCCCTCGCCCCCCTTGCAGGACGCCCCGTGAGTGCGAGAGAGACGGAGAGCTCGGAATCAGTCCGCAGGGGGAGACCGGAAGGCCGGAAGTCCGGAAGCCGGCGGAGTCACACACACGAGTGGGCACCACACGCACACACTCACGACGCACACAACGAAAAGAGCAAGGCACTACCTGTTCTCTGCCTTTCCTCAAGGACGAGTGGAGCAGAATGCGAGCGCGCTCGGTGTCTCGGCACGACAAGGGACCCCTTTCTCTCTACCCCAACCCCCAACCCCACACACCATTCGTATGAACATGAATTCCGAGACATCCTACACGAAATGGCACCGCCAAATCACATAAGTCTCACGTTAAAGCCGCTCTCTCCTGCTGCCCGCTCCGCCACCCACCATTCAGCGACACACACACTCACACAACCACACACACACACACAGTGGCGTGGAATGATGGTCGAAATGAAAGTGACGGCGCGGAGGGTCGTTTGAAATGACAGTAAGGGTCGCTTTGCCCCTGTCCCGACCTTCCCTGCCTTGGCCGCCGCCCCACCCCGCCCCGCCCCACCCCGCCCCGCCCCGCCCCGCCCCGCCCCGCCCCACCGCCACGCCCTGCGGTTGCTCGGTCGGCCGCCAGATGGCGCTCCCTGCCGCGCTACCACGTCTAAGTTGGCGGGGCTGCTTGGCTGCTTGGAGCGCTAGAGCACTGGAAGCGGTTGAGCCGCGGCGTCATCACTGGGCGGCGCGAGGGGGTTAAGAGGTTTCACGGCGCCGGGTTTCGTTTTACCAGAGTCGCTAAACGGGACTCGAACCGAACGTGTGACCCCACCAATGGATTGCTCTCCGAACGAGGAATCCATTGGTGGGGTCACACGTTCGGTTCGAGTCCCGTTTAGCGACTCTGGAGCTCAAAACGCGTCTTTGGCCGCCTCCACCGGTCTTCCGGCCCACTGCGGGGGTGCCGCGGTCTGAGCGGTGCGCTCAGGTGAGCCGGTATTGCGCATGATGGGTGGCCATGGCGCACGCTGACTCGGCACACGAAGAAGATGACCTCCACGACGAGCGTCAGCATAATGCCCCACGGGGGGCAGGCTGGCAGGCCGGGCAGCGCCGCCGGCAGAGGGAAGGGGCAGTCTGTCTGGCAGTCCCCGCGAGCCGCGACATCCGTCTGGCTTTCATTAGGCCCCGCTGTCGTAAGGCGGAGTGCGGCCCGGAAGTTTACGACCGAGATAAAAAGGAATTCATATCGTGCCGTGATCGGCAGGTACGTCGGGGTCCTGGCCGAGGACCCCGTCACATCTTGCAGGAGGTGAGGTCTGGTGGAGGCGGCCGGCGTGTTCAGACACGACACCGTAACGTTTTGAGCTCCAGAGTCGCTAAACAGGACTCGAACCGAACGTGTGACCCCACCAATGGATTGCTCTCCGAACGAGGGATCCATTGGTGGGGTCACACGTTCGCTTCGAGGCCTGTTTAGCGACTCTGGAGCTCAAAACGCGTCTAGAGTTTCGGCCGCCCCCACCGGTCTTCTGGCCCACTGTGCCCCGGGCGAGCGCGTCCAGAAGGTCATGGCGCGTCCTGGCAGTGTCCTGGCGGGGCGATTCCCACGCCGGTCTGGTTTGACACGGCTCGGATTAGGCAGGCTGCCGGCGCCCTGACGGCCTGTGACGGAGTGACGGAGTGACGGCACACTGATGGCGCCTGGCTGCTCTCGGCTGCCGAGCCGAGGCAAGCCGAGGCTGTCCCCCGGCCAGCTCCCCCTCCTGATGGTCACGCCTCGTTTCACACACACACACACACACACACACACACACACACACACACACGACCCCGGGCTGTCTGAGCACACAGTGGGGCGTGCGCAGTTAGTTTTGGTATCGCGACGTGACCACCACGTCACCACGTCTCCGCGATAGGCGAGAGAGGCCCCGCGAGAGAGAGAGAGAGAGAGAGAGAGAGAGAGAGAGAGAGAGAGAGAGAGAGAGAGAGAGAGAGAGAGAGAGAGAGAGAAGGGGGAGGCGCGTCATTTAATAACACTTTGTGCAGAGGGCCATTACGTGGTGGATGAGCGCGTTTATGGAGCATCGCCGAGCATCGCCGCCACAGCGCCAGGCCAGGCCGCCGCCGTGACGGCCGAGTGTCTCAGTTGGTTACGGGTCACTCTTTACCGCGGCCCGGAGAGCTTCGAGCCCGGGCACAGTGGGCCAGAAGACCGGTGGAGGCGGGCAAAATCCCGGACGCGTTTTGAGCTCCAGAGTCACTTAATGAGACTCGAACCGAACGTGTGGCCCCACCAATGGACTTCTCTCCGAGAGGAATCCATTGGTTGGGTCACACGTTCGTTTCGAGTCCCGTTTAGCGACTCTGGAGCTCAAAACGCGTCCAGAGTTTTGGCCGCCTCCACCGGTCTTGGCCCACTGTGCCCGGGCTGTGTACGTCCTTGTTCTCGCCCTCCTGCCTGCGCCCCATCAGATAAATATATTCCGACAGGTTCTCTCTGTAATCAGTCCAGGTGTGTAGCTGTGGACAGGTGTGAGGAAGCGGGCGCTGTGCCAGCCGGGCCCAGCCAGGACCCAGTGCCGGGCCAAGACGGCGCGGAGTTTGGCAAAGGGGGCCGCAGTGATCTGTGGCCCTGGAACCCTACCCGTTCACACAGCCACCCACACAGACACGAAGACACTCATACACACACACGATAATCTGTCGGGGAAACTTGGTCAATGGGTGAGGTGGTAATTGAAATCAGAGCAGCCAGCGCTGCTGATCGTTGCTGTCAGCGATGTCAGTGGGGGTGTCAGTGGAGGTGTCAGTGTGTCAGTGGAGGTGTCAGTGTGCCAGTGGAGGTGTCAGTGTGCCAGTGTGTCCGCTCTGTGTCGCAGGATGCTGCAGCGCGCGCAGGAGACGTGCCACATGAACGTGAACTGCGTGGACCCGCTGGGCCGGTCCGCGCTGCTCATGGCCATCGACAACGAGAACCTGGAGATGGTGGAGCTGCTGTTGGAGTACCGCGTGGAGACCAAGGACGCCCTGCTGCACGCCATCTCGGAGCAGTTCGTGGAGGCCGTGGAGGTGCTGCTGGACCAGGAGGAGGCCGTGCACCGCCACGGGGAGCTGCACGTAAGTTCCACCTTACAGTGGGCCAGGAGACCGGTGGAGGCGGCCGAAACTCCAGACGCGTTTTGAGCTCCAGAGTCTCTAAATGGGACTCGAACCGAACGTGTGACCCCACCAATGGATTGCTCTCCGAACGAGGAATCCATTGGTGGGGTCACACGCTCGGTTCGAGTCCCATTCAGCGGCTCTGGAGCTCAAAACGCGTCTGGAGTTTCGGCCGCCTCCACCGGTCTTCCGGCCCGCTGTGCGACAAATCTGTTGAGAAATCGCTGGTGCCGGGACGCGTCGGCGCACGTAATCGCCGTCGTCAGAAAGCTGTTTGTCGGTCCTCCTCGCCGGGCGTCCGTAACGACTTAAGAGGCCCCGGCGCGCCCCAGCACGCCTCAGCGCGCCGCGCTGGACCGACCCACACCTCTGACGGGCCGAGTCGGGGCCGTGCGCCCGGGGCGTGTCTGTGGCAGCTCGCTGGCCGGCCGGCCGGGCGCTGGCAACTGGCTGGCAAGCACTGGCAAGCACTGGCAAGCGCGCAGCACCGCCAGACTTGTAAATTAATGCAAATATGGGCGGCAAGACCCGGACCGGCGTCATGCCGCCCTGCCCGAGGCACAGTGGGCCAGATGACCGGTGGAGGCGGCCAAAACTCTAGAAGCGTTTTGAGCTCCAGAGTCGCTAAACGGGACTCGAACCGAACGTGTGACCCCACCAATGGATTCCTCGTTCGGAGAGCAATCCATTGGTGGGGTCGCACTTTCGGTTCGAGTCTTGTTTAACGACTCTGGAGCTCAAAACGCGTGTAGAGTTTTGGCCGCCTCCACCGGTCTTCTGGCCCACTGTGCGAGGGCTGCCAGCATGCTGCCAGGTCCCCGCGGGCTCCACGAGAGGGCCGGGGCGGGGCGGGGCGGGGCGGGGCGTGCTCCCCGCGTAATCAGCTAACCGGCAAAGGCTCGGTCAGAGATGGGTGACGCTGCACCTAGAATTTAAAATTAAGAAAAACACTGAAAAAACATTATCGCAACAAAAATAATGTTAAGAAAGTAGTGGGAATTGTTTTTACAAAAATACGCGTCTGGAACTTTGGCCGCGTCCACCGGTGGCAAATCCGCTGTGCGTTGCTGTGTGTTTTTTCCCATTTGGCGGAGGCCGGGGGGCTTAGCTCGGCTCGCCACGGCCCGGCGCGGCGGCTCGTTCGGGTGCCGATTGGGCTTCCGGGTCAGCGGTCGCGCCGCTGCACTGCTAGCTGCTCTCGGCAGAGCGACGCAGAGCGATGAATGCAGAGTGGATGGTGCGGCCCGGCCGCCTTCGTCGCTCTGTCCCTCTCGCACTCACGGGGCGTCCCGTGTGGGTGCGAGAGAGACAGAGCGACGGGAACGACACTGTCAGTCTGCTGCATGACAGGGGCAGGCCACCACTTCGAAGCCGGACTCATTGCGAAAGGATGGAGGACGACGCGACCGATATTGCCTTTTCTCTCTCTCTCTCTCTCTCTCTCTCTCTCTCTCTCTCTCTCTCTCTCTCTCTCTCTCTCTCTCTCGCTCTCGTGGGGCCTTCCCCGGGCGTGCGAGAGAGACGGGGTGTGGCTCCCTCTCGCTCACTCCGCGACACCGCCGTCCTCTTAACGCTTCCCTCTATGCTGATTGCAGCCTCCTTTCGGGGCTGATGAAAATGCCAGGCACGTCCCATCACGTTCGGGGCGTTCCACCGCCCCGCCTCGCCCCGCCCCGCCTCGCCCCGCCCCGCCTCGCCCCGCCCCGCCACGAGTGCGCCCTTGCCTGCCGTGGCAATTACCTTCTTGATTATATTCGGCGTTACAGTGTGCCGCGCCGATGGCCAGCCTATGGCAGCCCGTGACCTAGAGGTGCCCGCTGTCTGTCTGTCTGTCTGTAGTACCACCTGAATATTTTTAAAAAATCTCATTCAACGAACGTTAATGAAAGCAGATGATCCGTCGCGTTTCACAACTGCTGTGTTAGCCGAGAGGTTAGAGACGTGGGATCGAGTTACCGCAGGCCGGCGTTCGAATACCAGCGTCACATACGTTTTTTCGACTCACTATCCTAAGGGTGGTGGTTCGAGGCAATCCGAGCGGAGCCGTGTGTAACAGACCCACATGCCGGAGGTTCGACTCCTAACAAATATTTCCATTTAATTTTACTGCCTCACCCAGTGCGGTTGAAACCCGTGAACGTGAGCCCACTCCATGTATGGGACGTGGTGGTCCAGGGAGTAGAGGCGTCGGTTCCCAACTCTAGGGTCGGCGGTTCGACTCCCGCAACTTCTTGCGAAATTTTGACCGGGTCGGTCGAGTCCTGTCGCGTCAAGAGCCCACCTCACGCCGAGCCTCTCATCATGGGCCGTGGTGGCCGAGAGCGTAAAGTCGTGTGATCCCGGTGGCGGGGTCCGGGGATCAAATCTCATCGTGTCGTTACATTTTTCGACTGCCTTCCTCCCACTGCAACTCAAACCCGTCGTCCAACACGCTGCCAGACGTACAAGCGTGATAGCGTAGTGGTCAGAGTCACATTCACCTGGCCACTCCGCTGTGGGTGTCTAAAAAGCAATCCGCTTCGGCGGGTTGGCCTCGGCACTGGAGCGATGGAGTATTTGATCCATCAATCCAGACCATCCGGTGTGTGGTTGCGGGTGGTGCCTCCTTGACTCGTCGGGGAGGCGATGATAAGTCCTTTGAAGCTGGCCTAAAACGCTGTATGTTCGGTACGGGAGCGCCGGACAGTGGGGGTACCATGGGGTACACAACCAACCCTACGAAAACAAGAAGCTCCCACCAAACCTCTTCTCTGTCTGAGTCTCTCTCTGTCTCTCTGTCGTCTCACTCTACGTCCCGCTACGTCTAAGAGCTTCACACTGGGTGCTCCGACCCAGCTGTCTGAGCTTTGGGGTCCTACTGGGTCCCCCGGCGAACGCTTGGGTCGCTGACGGGATTAACCCCAGGTACCTGATAGCACCGGTTCCCATCCCGAACACCGAAGTAAAGCAGGAGGCCTCCCCATTAAGACTGGGGAGGGGGTGTAGAGTTCAAATTTTTTTCTTTTCCCTTTCAAATTTCTCAGTCAATACTCGGGAACCAACGCCTCTACTCCCTCGACCACTATGGCCAGTTAATGTCACGGGTTTGAACGACACTGGCTAAGGCAGTTAAATTAAGTGCAAACATTTGTTGAGAGTTGTTTGGAGTTAAACCTCCGACATGTGGGCCTGATGCACACGGCATCATCTGGAATATTTCTACTACACCTCATTTGTTTTTCGATTGGCTATCCGACAGGGGGTTGTTTAGATTCAGGTTGTACTACACTGGTCAAATTTTGCCCAAGTCTGGAGGTCCGCGATGGACCCGCCGCCCCCGGCCGGCCCGCGTGCCGCCGCCTTGCAGGTCAGGGCCGGGCCGCCGCCCCCGCCGCCCCCGCCGCCCCCGCCTCCCTCTGATGGTTGTGTGCTTGTCCGACACACTTGGCGACATGCGAGCTTCCTTCCCCCGCGGGGCCCCGCCGACACTCAGATCCCCCCCCCCCCCCCCCGGGCCTCTCGGTCGCAGCGACAGCCAGCGACAGCTGTGGCGCTCACTGCCCCGCCGCAATCTATCTGTAGGCCTACTTTGTTGCAAATCGCCGACAATTGTGGAGGGGTGACAAAATTCGCCCTGCAGTGTCCTCGAGAGTCAACTACTTCGAAAAAAAAAACCGGCCGGCGAAGGGAATCGAACCCAGGCCCGGCCCGGTCCGCGGTTTAGTGGCGGTCCCCTGCCCCGCCTGATGCCGCCGTTGTCCCCAAAGTTGTTCCGGCAGAGTTAATGGAAATTGCGGGGCAAAGAGTTGCCTCGAGTTGACGCGTCAGCGCCCAAAATAGTTGCCAACAAATTGGACACGCGCTCCGCTCCGCGCTCCGCGGTCGTGCAGTGGAGGCCGGGCCGGGATTCCAGCGCCAAACGACGCTTTGGTGCGCCGTGGGCCTAAGGCACAGTGGGCCAGAAGACCGGTGGAGGCGGCCAAAACTCTAGACGCGTTTTGAGCTGCTGAGTCGCTGAATGGGTCTCGAACCGAACGTGTGACCCCACCAATGGATTCCTCGTTCGGAGAGCAATCCATTGGTGGGGTCACACGTTCGGTTCGAGTCCCGTTTAGCGACTCTGGAGCTCAAAACGCGTCTAGAGTTTTGACCGACTCCACCGGTCTTCTGGCGCACTGTGCTGTGGCTGGCGCAGGCTGGCGCTTCCAGTCAGGACTGCCCGTTGCTTTTCACGGTGTGGAAACAGTGAGTGGGCAGGTGCGGGAGGCAAGCCCGCCGGATTAAGGCGTGTTCCGTCTCGTTCCTCTCGAGGAGCGGTGCGCAGTTGTAGTGCTCCAAGACGCAGCGCTGTCTCTCTCTCTCTCTCTCTCTCTCTCTCTCTCTCTCTCTCTCTCTCTCTCTCTCTCTCTCTCTCTCTCTCTCTCTCTTCCACAGCAGCGGCACGGCCCGCGAGTGCGACGGAGACAGAGACAGCGCGTGGTGAAGGCGTCTTCGTCTGCCTGTGGCGCCTGTGGCGGGGACTGGCGACTCGGTCGGCTTTGGAGGTCCGCCCCCTCGGTCCTCGGTCCCCGTCCCCGCATTACGCTTCATATTGCTTTCAGTGCAGGTGCGGCGGGGCGGGGCGCTCAGTGGGCCAGAAGACCGGTGGAGGCGGCGGACAAAACTCTAGACGCGTTTTGAGCTCCAGAGTCGCGAAACATGACTCGAACCGATCGTGTGACCCCACCAATGGATTGCTCTCCGAACGAGGAATCCATTGGTGGGGTCACACGCTCGGTTCGAGTTCTGCTTAGCGACTCTGGAGCTCGAAACGCGTCGGGGGATTTAGAACGCCTCCACCGGTCTTCTGGCCCACTGTGCGGGGCGCGCCTCGGCGTGCGCCCATCGGAAAGACGGCGGCCATCTCGTTCTCGCAAGGCGACAAGGCGCGGGTCGAGGTTGCCGAGGGCTGAGGGCGGCCAGGGGCCAGGCAGGCCATTGCCGCCAACGTAAAACTGAACAAGTCGTCGAGCGACACACGCGCAGCGCGCAGCTTTGCACAACGCCGACAAACTTTACGGCGTCGTTTTGGCGGCCCCGGTCTTTATGTGCCGCGCGGGGCAGCCCTGCTGCTGCTTCTTTTGTTGTTGTTGTTTTTTGCAACGCGTCCGAAATCCACGCGGATCTGAGAGAAACGGCGGGCTAAACGGGACGAAGGTCTAGCCTCGCGGCTCCGCGTTTCGCGCCTGTTCCTCGGTGGGCGTGCGAGCGTGGCATCGGACCGACAGGCTGCGAGAGAGAGAGAGAGAGAGAGAGAGAGAGAGAGAGAGAGAGAGAGAGAGAGAGAGAGAGAGAGAGAGAGGCGGGGATGATGGCGGCGGCCGGCTAGCCTCCGGGCTCGCCCCCTGCCCCGCCCCCGACCTTTGACCCCTGCCCGACAGTGTGGGGCCGTGCCCACGCCTCGATGCCCGTATCGGCAGGCCGCTTCCGAGAGAGAGAGAGAGAGAGAGAGAGAGAGAGAGAGAGAGAGAGAGAGAGAGAGAGAGAGCTCGGAGGCAGTCAGCAGCACAAGGACAGCCGGAAGGGGAACAACCTCGGGGGACCTTCCAGCCAGCGCGAGACTTAGCTTGTTGTTTGCTTGTTACTTTTATTTTTTTTTCCCCTGGAGGAATGTTGAACCCTGTGCCGGGCGTGGCGGGGCGTGTTGCAGAGCTGGGAGGCGCTGCCGTCCGACACGGCCACCTTCACGCCGGACATCACCCCCCTCATCCTGGCGGCGCACCGGGACAACTACGAGATCATCAAGATCCTGCTGGACAGGGGCTCGACACTGCCAATGCCGCACGACGTCAGGTAAGCGGGGCGTTCGCACAGTGGGCCAGAAGACCGGTGGGGGCGGCCGAAATCGCCTTTTGAGCTCCAGAGTCGCTAAGTGGGGCTCGAGCCGAACGTGTGACCCCACCAATGGATTGCTCGCTCGGAGAGCAATCCATTGGTGGGGTCACTCGTTCGATTCGAGTCCTATTTAGCGACTCTGGAGCTCAAACGGCGTTCGGTTGTTTGACCACCTTAAGCGGTCTTCTGGCCCACTGTGGGTTGCAGTATCACCCGGACACACACCCACAAACACACAGACACCCACACACACAGACACATGGCCCCCCACCCTCACACACACACACATACACACACACAGTGTGTGCACGTCAGAGAGATGACGGACGGCCTCGGTGCGGCCGAGGGTTGCGCATGAACCAGGAACAAAAGGAGTAAAAGAACGCGCCTCAAGTTTCCGCGCGTCGTCTTCGCGGTCTCTCCCACGGGATGAAGTGCGACTCACGGACGCAAACCAGGAAGTGCGGTCGCTCCGTCTCCCTCGCACCTGCACGGGACGGCCGGCGAGTGCGACGGAGAGAGAGAGAGCGACTCGCGGAACCGGTCGTCGGGCAGGCCGTGCATGCCAGGCCCGTGATACCCACGACGGGGACGGGCGTGGCGCGGCACTGTAGGCGCTGCAGGGCACGGCGCGGCACGCCAAAGAGACCGGCCCGCCAGCCAATCAAAGTTCCTGCCCTACTTTTATACGGCCAGATAGGGACCGGGCCGACCGGGCCGCCCCGGCCGAAGGCATGCTGACGGCGAGGGAGGTGGAGGGGTAATGAAAAGGGGGGGGAGGCAGAATTCGAGTCGTTTTCATCGCGTTCTCGTCAGCCCTGTCCGCGTCCCGGGCCGTCCCGGTAACCGGCGGAGTGACGGCCTCCACGGCGTTCTCCGCGAGGACGCGCTAAGCTGCGCGTCTGCTGTCGGGCCTGAGCTGCCTAAGCCCCGCATCGAGCCTTGAACCTCGCGGCGGCGGTTCGGTTCCCGGTAGGGCTAAAAACGTCGTAAGGCGCCAGTGCTGGCCGTAAAGTTAGCCCTGAGCGATAGGCCACGCGCGGCGCGGCGCGGGGGAGGTGGAGGGGGAGGGGGAGGGGAGGTTGGGGGAGGGCAGGGGCACTTCGTGTCCTGTGGTCGCAGCGAGCATGCCGCGACCCTGTTCATTACCAACACTTCATTCCCCCCTCCCCCGCGGCGACCTTCCCCGCGTGCACTTGACCTCGGAGCGAATCTGCAACCCCTTTCGGCCTCTCGGCCTTTCGGGCTCAAGGGCGATTCCGAGCGATTCCGGGCCGTGGCACAGTGGGCCAGAAGACCGGTGGAGGCGGCCAGAATCTCAGACGCGTTTTGAGCTCCAGAGTCGCTAAATGGGACTCGAACCGAACGTGTGACCCCATCAATGGATTCCTCTTTCGGAGAGGAATCCATTGGTGGGGTCACACGTTCGGTTCGAGTCATAGTTAGCGACTCTGGAGCTCAAAACGCGTCTAGGGTTTTGGCCACCTCCACCGGTCTTCTGGCCCACTGTGCGTGGAGGGCCCGCCTCTGAGGCAGCGCCACTTGGGGGCCGGGCTGCAAATGACGTGAACGCTCTTTCAATTGGCCGTCCCTGAGGTCCTTGAGGGCCTTGGCTGCTTTGCCGACGGGGACGTGCGGATGCAGGCCGCTTAGGCGCGGTCCCTCCCCCCGGCCTGCCCCGGCCCGGCTGGCGAGCCGCATTGTTGACGGCGTGCCGGCCGGCGCGGGGGCACACAGTGTCGCGGCGACGTCATCGGCGTGCTCTGGGCGTCCTGGGAGGCTGTCGGCGACGCGGCGTGGCCCCGGACCGCGGTCATCGGCTGCCCCCGTGCGCGCCCCACGGCGGGGACGCGGTCTCCGGCTTCTGCGGGCACGGCGCGACCGCCACAGCGAGTGGGCCGGCCCGGCACCGCACGGCCCCGCGGCCCCCGGCGCCCCAGCCGCGGCCCCAACGCGCGCCGCGGTCGGCGTCTGCGTTGGCGTTCTGCCGCCAGCACGACCCCCGGCGGGCGCCGCGCCGCGCACCCCAATGGCTCATACCTCGTAGGACAACACACTCACCCCCAGCAAGCATGGAGGGCGTCGGCGGCGCGGGCGGCCGCGACATGATCCTGGACGCGCTGCGGACCCTGGGCGCGCAGGGCAAGGGCGCCACCACCTCCGAGATCACCAAGTTCCTGGTGGCGGGGCACCAGGTGCCGTCGGAGCGCGCCCGCCGCCAGGTGGCCGTCGCCCTGAAGCGCGCCCTGGACAGCGGCGAGCTGCTCAAGCAGGGCTACCACTACATGCTGCCCGACGCGGACCTGGCCGAGGACGGCCAGTTCAAGGAGGCCGCCCGCCGGGGACGCCGTCGTCGCCGCCGCATGCGCCGCCGGTCGCGCTCCCGCAGCCGCCGTCGCCGCAGTCGCTCGCCGCGGCGCCGCAGCCACAGCCGCGGCCAGAGCCAGGCCGGCGGCAGCCCCAGCCCCGCCATGGCCTCGGACGCCACGGACGAGAGCGAGAACGTGCGCGAGGCCGCCATGCGCCGCCGCAGGCGCCGCCGGAGGAGGACGCGCCGCCGCGGAGGCAGCCGCCGCCGCCGCTCCAGGTCCCGGTCCCGCTCCGCCAGCAAATAGGTACGACCCGGGTTCGATTCCCCTCCGCGGCACCATTGTTCTCGTTTTTAATTCGACTTCTGCGCGGCGTGCTTGTGTCGGGCTCTCGAGCCCCGCGCGCCGCCGGAACAAAAGTCTGCCCGGCGCGCCTGTATAGGATTTGTGCGTTGTTTTTGCAGGCTGCCCGCCCCGCCCGGTCGGCTGTCTGGCCTCCAAGGGGTGCCTGCCGAAGCCACGCCCCGCCCCCTGACCCCCACCCCACCAAGACCGACCCCTCCATGCTTGCCGAGAAATACGCAACTCTTTAATTAACTTTCGCCAAGTTTGTATTATTGTTTACTTCCAAGTCAAGACCTCTTTGTAATTTTTTTAATCATCAAGGTCAAATCGATATCGTACGTCCTTGCGATGTTTGAAGCCAATTTTTCTAATGAAGATGCAAACGAATTTGTACGGATTTTTTTTTCTTGTTAGCGAGGAGGGCGAAACAATAAAAAAGGAGAGAGATGCAAGGAAAGCTTGCTGTTTTTGTTTTCCTCTGGTTGATGGCGGAACCTTGTTACGTGAAAAAGCACAACACAACACGAACGAGACACTTCATTAAATCTTGCAAAGCCCAAACAAGACAAGAAACGAAAACGGGGCCAAAGTCAAAACCATCTCTTCACCTAAAAACGAAGCAAAACAAAAAACCCACAAACTTCTCGTTTAAAAAAATCTTTGATAAAAAAAAAGGATGTCTGACTGGTAGTTGAACCCACGGCCTTGCCCACAGGTGCGGCTGCGACGAGTGCGTGACCTCGCGGCAGGAGGACTCGCTGAGGCACTCGCGGTCCAGGATCAACGCGTACCGCGCGCTGGCCTCGCCGTCCCTCATCGCCCTCTCCTCCAAGGACCCCATCCTCACGGCCTTCGAGCTGTCCTGGGAGCTGCGCCGCCTGTCCTTCCTGGAGCACGAGTTCAAGACCGAGTACCAGGTGGGTGGCTGTCACTGGCTGGGACACAGCGCACAGTGGGCCAGAAGACCGGTGGAGGTGGCCAAAACTCTAGACGCGTTTTGACCTCCAGAGTCGCTAAAAGGGACTCGAACCGAACGTGTGACCCCACCAATTGATTGCTCTACGAACGAGGAATCCATTGATGGGGTCACACGTTCGGTTTGAGTCCTGCTTAGCACTGCTGGAGCTCAAAACGCGTCTAGAGTTTTGGCCGCCTCCGCCGGCTTCTAGCCCACTGTCCTGCGTCCGGTCGCTTGCCAACACCATTGTCTTTACACTGTCTTTGCGACCAGGAGCTGCGCAAGCAGTGCCAGGACTTCGCGACGGCGCTGCTGGACCACACGCGCTCCTCCTACGAGCTGGAGGTGCTGCTGAACCACGACCCCACGGGGCCGGCCTTCGAGCACGGCGAGCGCATGCACCTGAACCGCCTCAAGCTGGCCATCAAGCTGAGGCAGAAGAAGGTGAGCAGAGGGGTCACACGTTCGGTCCGAGCCCCATTCAGCGACTCTGGAGCTCAAAACGCGTCTTGAGTTTTGGCCGCCTCCACCGGTCTTCTGGGGTCTCCAACCCCAGCCTGCCTGCAAGGCGACGTCCGGGCTTTGTTCTCGCGGGCCTACCTTGCCACACCGCTGCTCGTGGGAATGCCTGGCCTCCGCGTGTCGCTACACTGCGCAGCGCCCAGGCGAGGCTGGATCGCCTGGAGCGCCTGTGGAGTCCAGGGTAGGCCAGGCCGCCGAACAGGGCGTCGAGGCGGCCGGCCCACCCCGCGCTCCGCAGGCGCTCTGCGCCGCTCTGCGCTCCAGCACACAGTGGGCCAGAAGGCCGGTGGAGGCGGCCAAAACCCTAGACGCGTTTTGAGCTCGAACAGGACTCGAACCGGACGTGTGACCCCACCAATGGATTCCTCGTTCGGAGAGCAATCCATTGATGGGGTCACACGTCCGGTTCGAGTCCCATTTAGCGACTCTGGAGCTCAAAACGCGTCCAGAGTTTTGGTCGCCTCCACCGGCCTTCTGGCCCACTGTGCAGCAACGCGCCGCCCGTGACTTTCCTTTCACAATCAAATCCGAATCCCGGTATTTTTTCGACATAAATGTTTTATGACTCATTTTTTGTCCGACATTGTCCCCTCCACGCGTGGCGAGCGGAAATAAAAATGCGGCCTCGTTGTGGGTGATTTCCGATATGGACAAGGCGTGACGGGCCGGAGTACCCCCCCCCCCCTTTTTTCACCCATGTCGCGATTCGCGCGTTCGGGAACCCAATGCCTGGAGGATTTGCGGGAACCGCCGAACGCAGCCCGGCCGCGTCCGCGCTTTAATGAAAAGTCATTGCAGTCTGCCAGCCTCGACTGCCCGTCCGGCGAACCGGCACCCGTGGCTGCCAGCCCCGTCTGCCCGGCCTCGGCCTGACCGGCTTCGGGATATAATGATTGTCCCAGCGGGACAGCGAGACAGCCGCGGATAAAATGAACCACTCGCCCGGAAGCGGCCCGTGATCTGCGCAGTGTGTGTGCGAGAGAGAGAGAGAGGGGGGGGGGGCGTGTGTGTCCGCTTCTTCACCCGGCACCCCCACCCATGGGCCTTTAGCAGCGGGTTAATGATACAGAAACATCACGTTCAGTTGACGCCCGACAATTTCTCTGCCCTGCAAACGGCATTTTCGTCGCGCCAGCCGAGTTCATCAAGTCTCCCTTCCCTCTTTTTTATCCTCTTCAATTTTCTGGCCCCCTTTTTCGCGGCCCTATATTCAGAGCGGGCAAAAAGCTGGGGCCCTCGCCGGGCCGCGCGTTGGCAGTGACGTCGAGGGCGGTGTGGGCAAGGCGCACAGTGGGCCAGAAGACCGGTGGAGGCGGACAAAACCCTAGACGCGTTCCGAGCTTCAGAGTCGCTAAATGGGACTCGAATCGAACGTGTGACCCCACCAATGGATTCCTCGTTCGGAGAGCAATCCATTGGTGGGGTCACACGTTCGGTTCGAGTCTCATTCAGCGACTCTGGAGCTCGAAACGCGTCTAGAGTTTTGTCCGCCTCCACCGGTCTTCTGGCCCACTGTGCGGCGGTGACTTTCCACGCCTTACCGCCGCCACTTGAAATTAATTACCCCGCCGAAGAAATGTTGTCTCGGCCGGGAAATTTAGCGGTGACTGGCGGCGCCGTATGAAACATGCATACGCAATTCCCACGACCGACAGTGTGGGAGTCTGTCTGTCTGTCTGTCTGTCTGTCTGCCTGGCTGCCCGCCCGTCCGTCTGTCCGGGGTGCGAACAGCCCCTGCCGAGCGCACCCCGTTAATCCGCCGTTTCCGGCGGGCGGCTGTACCGTAAGCAGTCTGCACCCCCCCCCCCTCTGCAACGAACAAAAAGCACACCGGGAAAATCATCACACTTTGAGCAAAAAGGGAATTGCGTATTTTTCATGCGTTTCTGCTGGAATCATCGCTGGCCATTGGCGTCGCAGCTTTGTATTTTTTTCCCGTCTCTCTTTTCCTCTAGTGGGAAGGCAATCACCCATCTCTCTCTCTCTCTCTCTTTCTCCCTCTCTCAATGTCCGTCCTGTGTCCTGGCGGGAACAGGTGCAGATGCAGCTGAAAAAATGATGGGTACAGCAAAGGCCTCCGTTCCGTGTGTCTCACTTTGCTGCAGACGCCGCCAGCTCCATGTTGGTGGAAATCTATAGTAGCTGCGTGGACAGAGTGATCGCCTCTGGACCCCTATGTCGTGGGTTCAAATCCCAGGCTATTTACTTTTTTTTTTCAAATTAAAGTCCGGAATTGCCGGTTTGTGGGTGATTTTCGAACCCCTTCTCGATGGGGGAAAGCCTGAGAGCACAGCGAGCAGGGTGGGTCGCTCGCACGAGTGGCCAGTCAATGTCGCGGAACTTGGTGGCGTCCGCCGCGTCCGCTGCCGTGCCCAGCAGACTGATTCCGAGAGTCGCTTTCGTCGCTCTGTCTCCCTCGCACCGACACGGGACGCCCCATGAGTGGGAGAGAGTCGGAGCGAGAGTCTGCGGGCAGTGCTGATGCCGGCACGGCCACTGGAACGTCGCCTCGGCGATGCACAGTGCCAGTGGGCCAGAAGACCGGTGGAGGCGGCCAAAACTCCAGGCGCGTTTTGAGCTGCAGAGTCGCTAAATGGGACTCGAACCGAACGTGTGATCCCACCAATGGATTGCTCTCCGAACGAGGAGTCCATTGGTGGGGTCACAGTCCGGTTCGAGTCCCATTTGGCTGCTCCGGAGGTCAAAACGCGTCTGGAGTTTCGGCCGCCTCCACCGGTCTTCTGGCCCACTGTGCGATGTCTTCCAAATCAATTACTTGGCATTAGTTATGTCAGTTTATTCCGCTCTGAATGGATTCCATCGCGCGGAAGGAATGTTGCATCCCTCGGCAACAACAAGAAAAACAAATTTTTTGCACCACGTTGTCTTTGTCTCTCCCTTCACGGCGTGTCCTCTTTTTTCCTCGCGCCGTGTTCTTGTTAGCTGGCAGCCTGGCAGCCGACACAGATGTCCGGGCTGTGGTTTTCATTATTTGTCTACACGTGGGGCCAGCGGGGCCACTGAGCCCGGCACTCGGCGCGTCGCCCCGCCCCGCCCCGCCCCACTAACGATCTGTCAGCTATCTGTCCAATCTCTGTCCGCCTTGCTGTCCACCATTAGTCTGCGCGAACAGCGTGCAGTGCAGGGTGGGCAGGGTGCGACGCGGAGCCTGGAGCGCGGGGCGGGGCGTGTTCAGACACGACACCGTAACGTTTTGAGCTCCAGAGTCGCTAAACAGGACTCGAACCGAGCATGTGACCCCACCAATGGATTGCTCTCCGAACGAGGAATCCATTGGTGGGGTCACACGTTCGGTTCGAGTCCCATTTAGCGACTCTGGAGCTCAAAACGCGTCCGGGATTTTGACCGCCTCCACTGGCCTTCCGGCCCACCGCGACGTTGCGTCACGCTGGAGTGCGGCCTGCAGCCTGGAGCCAGCCTGAAGTCAGCCTGGAGCCCGCCTGGAGCAAGCCTGGAGTCAGCCTGGAGTCAGCCTGGAGCCGCGGAGCTGGAGACATAAATCAGCGTCCAGCGTGACGCGCCGTCGCGTTGCTCGCACCGCTCGCGTTGCCATGCCGACCGGGGGGACCGGAGGGACCGGGGGGCGCGCAAGCATTCAGTTGTTGGCGGCTAAAGAGGCCGAAACGGCAATTTGCATGCAGGGGATGCTATCATGGAGATATGGCCTTGACTGCGCATGGGCCGCGTGGGCCCCGCTCGAGGGGGAGGGGTAGGGGACACTGGAGGGTTGTCCAGGCCAGCGGCTTATTGAATATGCACTGTCGGAAACGCGTCGCAGTGGCCGCATCGGTAGAGGCTTCGCTTTCAACCTGGAGTCTCGCGTTCGAATCCCCACACCTGCCTATTTTTTTATTTTTTTTTTTTTATTTATTTATTTTTTTTTTTTGCTTTTGGAGATGGCGGGTGCTTTGTTTTTCGCGGTGCCCCGTTCTGAGATAGGCGCCGCAGCGACACTGCGTCCTGTGGGAGGGAGAGAGGCAGTCGGCTTGCTGGCGGTCTGGCCCGGTCTGTCTGGCCCGGGGTCTGGCGGTTGACGCGGTGGGGGACGGCCAGGGACGGCGCGGCCGGAGGGCGTGGCCAGGCGGCGTCCGGAAACTGGCCCCGTAGTCACGTGTGGCGTATTGTCATTAAAGTCCCCACGGAGCTTCGCCGGCGGGGCGGGGCGGAGCGGGGCGGGGCGGGGCGGGGCGGCCGCCGTTTAGTGCGCATGAACGGCTGGATTAGGCGCGCCGTCCGGCAAAAACGCGGACTGCAGGGAGCACCCCTCTGTCTGGGAGTGATCCCAGCGCGGTGCACAGTGGGCCAGAAGACCGTTAGAGGCGGACAAAAGTCTAGACAAATTTTCAGCTCCATTGTCGCTAAGTGGGACTCGAACCGAACGTGTGAACCCACCAATGGATTCCTCGTTTGGAGAGCAATCCATTGGTGGGGTCACACGGTCGGTTCGAGTCCCGTTTAGCGACTCTGCAGCTCAAAACGCGTCTAGAGTTTTGTCCGCCTCCACGGGTCTTCTGGCCCACTGTGCGGTGCCCGCCTGCCTGCTGGCTGCTGCTGGCTGCGACCGCGCACGGTCCGCCGAGGCAGGCGGACTTTTCCTCGTCCTCGGCCTGGCCTTGCTTGGCCTTGCCCGGCCCAGGCTGCCGGACCGACCGGGCCGTCCTGTGCCCTTCGGCCCTCTCTCGTAACAAATGTGCCTCGTTACAGTGGAGGACGGCCGGCCAGCCGCGCCCTTCTTGCCTTCTTGACGTCACCCCCCCCCCCCCCCCCACAGCGTTATCCAAATCGCGTCCCGCGCCGCGTTCAATTCGCCCGTCGCAAAGTATTCCTCCCTCGGTAAAAAAGGGACGGAGATGTGCCTCACGCAGGGATTGCATGTCAAGCGTAAAGTGTGTAACGCGAGAAGAGGAGCCGCGAAAAGGACTCGAACCGAGCGTGTGACCCCACCAATGGATTCCTCGTGCGGAGAGCAATCCATTGGTGGGGTCACACGTTCGGTTCGAGTCCCATTTAGCGACTCTGGAGCTCGAACCACGTCTGGACCACTGTTGACCTGTTCCGGTTGCAGTTCGTGGCCCACCCCAACGTGCAGCAGCTGCTGGCCTCCATCTGGTACGAGGGCCTGCCGGGCTTCCGCCGCAAGAACATGGTGCTGCAGGCGCTGGAGATCGTGCGCATCGGCGCCATGTTCCCCTTCTTCTCGGCGGTGTACGTCATCGGGCCGCACTCCGGCGTGGGGCAGACGCTGCGAAAGCCCTTCATCAAGTTCCTCTGCCACGCTGCTTCCTACTTCACCTTCCTTTGTGAGTCCCACTTGGCCAGTCCTGGAACGCGTGCAGAGCTCCAGAGTCGCTAAATGGGACTCGAACCGAACGTGTGACCCCACCAATGGATTGCTCTCCGAACGAGGAGTCCATTGGTGGGGTTACACGTTCGGTTCGAGTCCCATTTAGCGACTCTGGAGCTCAAAACGCGTTTTAAGTTTTTTTTTACAGTGAGGGTCCAGAGCGACAAAGAGCCCAATATCCCGTTGAACGGCGCGCACGCTCGTACTCTCGCAAAAATAAGTTATCTCGCTGTGAAAGAGGCATTTCCCTCGCGAGCGCCGCAGCGCTGCACCCAGTCCCTGCCGGGCCTGCCGCCCGAAACTCTAAAATCGGGAATGCCGTTAACGACTCTGCTTTATGGTCTGCGTAAATTTTCACAGCCCTTGAAACGCCGTGTGCAATCCCACATAAAGCATCGTCCTGCTTTTTGGCAGGCCTCTGTTTCTGGCAGACAAACTACACTGGGCTGACGAGGACCGAGGATTGGCTGACCTGGCTTCTCTTGTTGCAGTTTTACTTATCCTAGCTTCCCAACGCATCGAGTCTGTGATAGCCGAATGGATTTTCGGAGCCGATCCTAGTAGTAACGACGAGAGCCACGACATCACCACCAAGCGGGGCGCGCCTCCCACCGTCGTGGAGTGCTTCATCCTCGCGTGGGTGCTCGGTGAGTACAGTGGATAAGACCGGTGGAGGCGGCCAAAACTCTAGGCGCGTGCAGAGCTCCAGAGTCGCTAAATGGGACTCAAAACGAACGTGTGACCCCACCAATGGATTCCTCGTTCGAAGAGGGGCCACGGGACTCTGGAGCTCAAAACGCGTCTAGAATTTTTGCCGCCTTCACCGGTCACTGTGTCGCGGGTTCGACTCCCGCCATGGCCTGTGTGTATTACAATATTTTTTAATGATTTTTCTTTACCTAGGTTTGATATGGAGCGAGGTGAAACAGTTGTGGGACGTCGGATTAGAAGAGTATGCCAATGATATGTGGAACGTAATAGACTTTGTCACCAACTCACTGTACGTGGCAACGGTGGCACTCCGGGTCGTGGCCTACTACCAGGTTTGTGTCGCCTCGCTACCACATGACTAGGCACCACCTCTGCTGGTTCTTTTCCATGACTCTGTTCAAACGGTCTCATTTTCCCCGCAGGTCCAGAAGGAGAAGGAGATGTCTCCCTACGGCCTGGCCGACCTGCCGCGCGAACAGTGGGACACTTGGGACCCCATGCTCATATCGGAAGGACTGTTTTCTGCTGCCAACATTTTCAGGTGGGTCCCCTCTGGTTCCCCCCCCCCCTCCTCGGCATCAAGTTGGTGGCGCTGCGAATAATGGATGCGCCTCCCCCGGGGTGCAAGTTTGTAGATTTCTGGCAGTGTCCCCCCGGGGCGCGCTGGCCGCCGGCCGGACGTTTGGGGCTGTACCACTGTAAGCTCGCCTCCTTGTCGCAGCTCCCTCAAGCTGGTCTACATCTTCTCCGTGAACCCGTACCTGGGGCCGCTGCAAGTGTCCCTCAGCCGGATGGTCTTGGACATCATGAAGTTCTTCTTCCTCTACGTCCTGGTGCTGTTCGCCTTTTCTTGCGGTGAGTTGGCAACAGCCGCCGTGCGCCGGCACTGCGCACAGTGGGCCAGAAGACCGGCGGAGGCGGCCAAAACTCTAGACGCGATTTCAGCTCAAGAGTCGCTAAATGGGACTCGAACCGAACGTGTGACCCCGCCAATGGATTCTTCGTTCGGAGAGCAATCCATTGGTGGGGTCACACGTTCGGTTCGAGTCCTGTTCAGCGACTCTGGAGCTCAAAACGCGTCTAGAGTTTTGGCCGCCTCCACCGGTCTTCTGGCAAATCCACTGTGTGCGTGGGCAGGCCAGGCCGGACTGCGTCGCTGCGTCGCTGCGTTCCGCTGAGTGCTTTCAACTTTTATGGCCGCCGTGCCGTGGCGCCGTGCCCGCCGTGCCCCGGCGTCGCTTTTCCGGGCCTCGCCCCGGCCTCGCCCAGGCCTCGACTTGAGGCCTCGGACTTCGCCCTCCGGCCTCCTCCTGGTGTTTGAGCCTCCCGCTGTCGTGCCGCAGGTCTGAACCAGTTGCTGTGGTACTACGCGGACATGGAGAAGCAGATCTGCAACAAGAACCAGCCCACCCAGCAGGCCGCCAACTCGACCCACGCGCCGGACCGCGACGCGTGCGTCGTCTGGAGGCGGTTCGCCAAGTGAGTCCGGACGCGCCGCACTTAGTTTGGCCGCCTGGCCCGCCTCACAGTGGGCCAGAAGACCGGTGGAGGCGGCCAAAGACGCGTCTTGAGCTCCAGAGTCGCCAAACAGGGCTCGACCCCACCAGGGGTGACCCCACCAATGGATTGCTCATCGATCGAGGAAACCATTGGTGGCGTCGCACGCTCGGTTCGAGTCCTGTTTAGCAACTCTGGAGCTCAAAACGCGTCTAGAGTTTTGGCCGCCTCCACCGGTCTTCTGGCAAATACACTGTGCCCCTGGCGCGCACTGACCGGCCGCGTTCTTTGCCAGCCTTTTCGAGACGACGCAGACCCTCTTCTGGGCCGTGTTCGGGCTGGTGGACCTGGACAACTTCGAGCTGGCCGGGATCAAGAGCTTCACGCGCTTCTGGGGCATGCTCATGTTCGGGACGTACTCCGTCATCAACATCGTGGTGCTGCTCAACCTGCTCATCGCCACCATGAACCACTCCTACCAGCTCATTTCCGTAAGTCTTTTTTTTTTTGCCGTGTGGTTTGCGCGCGGAAACGTTGGTAAAAAGTGGTTTGCTTGGGCAGGAACGCGCCGACACCGAGTGGAAGTTCGCCCGCAGCAAGCTGTGGATCTCGTACTTCGAGGAGGGAGGCACCGCGCCGCCGCCCTTCAACGTGATCCCCACGCCCAAGAGCATCTTCTACATCTGCAGATGGGTGCAACGCAAGCTGTGCGGACACTCGCGCGCCGCCAAGAAGGAGCACATGCGCACCATCAGGGTGAGTGCACACAGTGGGCCAGAAGACCGAGGCGGCCAAAACTCCAGACGCGTTTTGAGCTCCAGAGTCGCTAAATGGGACTCGAACCTAGCGTGTGACCCCACCAATGGATTGCTCTCCGAACGAGGAATCCATTGGTGGGGTCACAGGTTCAGTTCAAGTCCTTTTAAGCGACTCTGGAGCTCAAAACGCGTCTACAGTTTGGCCGCTCCCTCCGGTCTTCTGGCCCACTGTGCACCCCTTTGCAGTGTGCTTGCGCGCCCTCGAGGGTCGCTTTGGGAGATTGTTGTACTTTTGAAGCTGAATAACTTTCTCCTGTCACTTCCTATCCCATGTCATTTGTTGCAACTTTTTGGCTATTCCATTGAGACAGCCATGCTTGTAAAAAGACGCCCATCTGGCCAATTTTTAAAATTCACTTACACCCCTTAGAAAAGTTAAGCAAGGCACTCCCTTGGAAACCAAAGGTGACGCTCCTCCCCACGCCACTCGCAGTCACGGCCAGGTGTAATAGTTCCCCCGAGAGAGCGCTTCGCCGCTTCGCGCCACGCTGTTCCGAAGCTCACCGGCCGGCCGCTGCGTAGACACTGTAGAGCGTGTACTTGCGATGCCGGCACGCTAAGCCTATTAAACTCAGCCCCCCGAGTGCAACTTGGTAATTGACTTACACCTTGGCCTCTCTCTCTCTGTTTCGCTCCTCGCAGAGAAAGGTGAAGCAGGCCAGTGAGAGGGACTTCCGCTATCAGGTGAGTGGGCCTACGCCCGGTCCAGCTGCTCGAAGACGCGGGTTCGAATCCCAATTCAATTTCCTTTTTCTCCCAGAGCATCATGCGCAACCTGGTGCGGCGGTACGTGACGGTGGAGCAGCGCAAGGCCGAGTCGCAGGGCGTCACCGAGGACGACGTCAACGAGATCAAGCAGGACATCTCGGCCTTCCGCTGCGAGCTCATCGAGATCCTCAAGAACTCCGGCATGAACACGCACACGTCGTCCTCCACGGGCGCAGGTAACCACCTCGGTGATCGAGCCTTAAGAAGACGCGTTTTGAGCTCCAGAGTCGCTAAACAGGACTCGAACCGTGCGTGTGACCCCACCAATGGATTGCTCTCCGAACGAGGAATCCATTGGTGGGGTCACACGTTCGGTTCGAGTACCGTTTAGCGACTCTGGAGCTCAAAACGCGTCTGGGATTTTGACCGCCTCCACCGGTCTTCTGGCCCACTGAGCGCCGTCTTCCTGAATGACCACCACTCCGTTGTTTCCTTTCCGCCAGGCTCCGGCGGCAAGAAGAACCGGCAGAAGGAGCGGCGCCTGATGAAGGGCTTCAACATCGCGCCGCCGCCGTCCTCGTCGGGCGGCCCCAACCTGTCCCCCGTGGTGGAGATGACCCTCGTCTCGGACCAGTCGGACGAACCCATCTGCGCGTCGGCGGACAATGGCGGCGGCGCGGCGGCGGGGCAGGGGTCGGTGGGGGCGATCGGGGCGCTGGCCGGGCCCGACCTGTTCGGCTCCACCCTGTCCGGCGTCCTGGGCGTCGGCCGGCGCGGCTCTGGCCACGGCCCGCACGGCCAGCAGGGCCAGCACGGCCAGCAAGCCGGCCCGTCCGACGGCCACCAGCACCAAGGACTCCGATCGAGGTCGAGCAGCGTCCCTTCCCCGCCAGCATAGTGCACTAGCGCCGTGCGCGGTGGAGCCTCGAGCCTCAATGTCGCGCCTAAATGTCGCCTCTTTGTTTCTGCTCCGCGCACGGCGCCTTTGCTCTTCGGACCCTTCGCTGCCAGAGCGCCCGAGGCCGAGCGCCCGCCGACGCGAGGCTAGGCCAGCCGGCGCGTGGCCGTGTGCGGCGGGCTGGCCTCGGCGGGCGCGCGGCTCCTCTCGGTGCGCTCCACAGTGGGCTAGAAGACCGGTGAAGGCGGTCAAAATCCCGGACGCGTTTTAAGCTCCAGAGTCGCTAAATGGGACTCGAACCAAACGTCTAACCTCACCAATGGATTGCTCTTCAAACTAGGAACTCATTGGTAGGGTCACACAGGTTCGAGACCTGTTTATCGAGTCCGGAGCTCAAAACGCGTCCGGGATTTTGACCCTCTCCGCCGGTCTTCCGGCCCACTGTGCGCTCGGCGCCTTGCAAGGCATGCCTTACTAACCGCTCTCGCTGTGGGCCTGGCTTGGCTGGCGGGCCGGGCGTGCGCAGGCTGCACCTCGGCAAGTCCCGGTCGGCGCTCGGCGGCTCGCACAAGCGGCGCTGGGGCACGCTCATCGAGGCCGCCAAGTCGGGGCGCGTGGGCCGCCTCATCAGCCGGTCGCGCTCCGAGGACTCGGTGTGCAACGGGTCGCGGGCCGCGCGCCACCAGCGCCACGGCCGCTCCAACTCGGAGGAGGCCACGGACACGGACTCGACGGAGGGGCTGGGCCACCCGCTGGCCAACGCGCTGGCCGCGCTCAAGCGCAAGCGGCACAAGTTCCACACGTCGCGCGGCAGCCACGCCGTCCAGACCACCTCCAACAACGACAGCGACGACGTGGCCATGCACGGCCTCAGCGGCTCGCTCCAGGGGCCGTCCTCGTCGGGGGCCTCCACGTCGGCTGCCTCCAAAACGGTACGCCCATCCACCGTCACCCTCAAGGTTCGCCTGGCTCGCCCTGTCCTGACTGTCCTTGTCCTGCCTCAGGCGCTGCAGCGGGCCTCCAGCGTGCCGGCGCGCACCCCCGAGGAGGTGATGGAGACCCGGCCGAGGCCGCGGCCCCGCCAGCTGCAGGAGGCGGAGGCGCGCGTCATCGAGCACCTGCAGCACCAGCAGCAGCCGGCCTCGGCGCCCCCGGCGGAGGGCGCGGGCCTGGCCGACGCGCTGCTGCTGTCCGAGGCCGCCGGCGGCGCGGCGGCCGCCACGTCCAGGTCGTCCTCGCCGTCGGCCCTGGGGGTGGTGGCATCCCCGGGGGCGGCGGGGGCCTCCAGCAGTGCGGGCACTGCGGCGGCGGGGGCGGCGGCGCCGGGGCAGGTTCCCGGCGCCGCGGAGCCCCCGAGCCCCACCGGCGGCGAGCGGTGGTTCAAGAACAGGAACGGACTGGTGGCGACCCTGCCCAACCTGCCGCCCGGGATCCAGCCGGTCAGCGGGCACAACGTGTCGGCGGGGTGGCTGTAGGGCGGCCAGGGCCACGGCCACGCCGCAGGGCCACGCCGCAGGGCCACGCCGCAGGGCCACGCCACTGCACAAGGGCCGGCCTGCCGCACCCTGCCGGGACTCGCACAAGTTGACAATTGGTTGGCGCGACTCAGTGGTGGGTCTAGCCAAGTTTCTGTCGGGGAGCAAGGGATCGATGGTTTAGGTTTCCTTTGCTGTTTTGACAAAAATTTGGGTAGGGATCCCTGTTTAGTTCCCGACTCTCTCATTAGTTGTGCCAACAAGTTGTTACTTTTCTCCTTCAGTTTCTTCCTGGTGACAGGTGGCAACAGCTTTGTGTATCATGCATGGACCGGTGGACTTTGGGACTGAGTGTTGCACAAAGTGGCGAGTGATTAATATCACTGTTTGTGATTCTGTTGAGGTTGTTGGCGGGGCTGTGATTGTTTGGAGATGGTCTAAGGAACTCTTCATGTTGCCCCGCTGTCTCTTAGTCTCCCATTTCCGGGTATTCAACTGCCAACACGAAAGGGTTTGTTAAAGAGATATTGGCATTGGCCTAGTCTTGATTGGATGAATTCAAAAAATTTAGATGAAATGTTCAACTGCACAATCATTGTTGGTATGTATAATGACAAAAGTTGATTCATTTGATATTATTTTATTTTTTATGATTTATATTGGCTATTGAAAAGTGTGTGAAAAGTGAGCATTTTGTCTCAACTGCTGGCATGTCTCATTTAGAGGATGTCACTGTATAACCATACCATAAATTTACTTTTCTTTACAAAATTTATTAATATCTCCTGTATATTGCTTAATTATTGTCAAAGTCACAACGTCTTGTTGATCTGTAGTTTGATCAACTCGACTTTTTCATCAATGATGGCTATACAAACAATGCTACAAAATGATAAATAAATCTTACATTTAAATTATTAGTGATTGTTGCTTTCAGGGTAGATCTTTTGACATGTTGTGACCAAATAACGGCAGATCATATTTCTATTTTAAAAATAACAGTTGCAGTTTCATATCACAATCAACAGTATGTCAAATTGGTGTAAGAGAAAACATTTATTGTGTCCACACCAGTCATTCTTGGGATATTCCTCTTGTTCTTCATTGAGGAGAAATCCTCAGCAGCTAGGTGGTGATATGTCGTAGAAGTTATGGTTGATCAAGCCACATGCCCATGGTAGCAACACAGATGCAGTCTTCATTTATTTTCGAATGCTGTACAATACTTATACGATATGTTAATATTATTTAAGTGTTGATGGTTTAATAACGTTTACCGTCCTAAACTGTTCCAGATATTACAAAATTATGTTTTAATGTGAATAACATGGACACTACCTTTGTGACTTATTTTGAAAGCTTAGTTAAAACTGCATGGGACCATCATCCCTAAAGTAGTTTCATATGAATGTAACTGGTACCAATTTACTTATACAGAAGTGCAAGCTTAGCAGAAATATTAGAACAACTTGATCTACTTGCAAGCTTCCTCTTCATGTGTAAAACCAATACTAACAAATCTTAACATTTCAATGACTTTACTGTTGTCATATTCACAGCACAAAGAAAAAGGCCATGAACTGATGGAACTAACTGCCTTAAAATGTGGCAAAAAAAAAAACGTGTTTTGTACACAATGTTGGATGTAAGCCATTCCTGATGTGACATATGTACTCGAGCAACAAACTCATATATACTACCTTGGGGATGACCTTTATGACCAAATTCTGCTTTACTGCCATCAAGGTCTGTAAAATTTCAGTTTCAGTTTTTACATTAATTTCAATTATACATATTATCCATTTGCATCATGGGTCACAAAAATATCTACATGGAGTCCATTGACCTTCACAATACTTTTTGAGTTAAAGCTAGGTTCTTTGTGAGTTTTGGTTCCAGGGTTCCCACACTTGACTCATGCTTTATTTTGGTAGGGTACGAATATTTATATGAAAGTCTGTTGTCCATGTTGAAAAAAAAGATAAAAACATACTACATTAATGGCTATATATTGACAAAATCTTCTCACTAAAAAGAGCCTTCATAAAGCACTTGTTCAGCAACATCATTAGCACACCCCATTACTTATAGGTAAGGCAGCTCATGTGATGATGTTTTAACTTAAGGAATTTTTAATTTTTGTTGTACATAATATTTTTACTGCAATATATGTCTCGAGCGCAGACTAAGGCCTGTTTCAATTTATTTTTCCCGGAAACGGGAGCCGGACCTTTTCACCAACAAAATTAATTTCATCTAGCCTCAAATAACCAAAGGAAGTAGCACCAACAACGGCATCCACTGTGAATGAAAGAGACTTGATGAACCAAGGGAGAGAGCTGGGAATTGTGGGGTGTTTCATGAGCGCGCGGTGGAGGTTAGGTTAGTAGAAAAAAATTGTAAACCAGGTAGATAAGTTAGAAGTTTTTGATATATTAAAATACAAAGCAATGTTTGGAATTAAGAACTAGAAGCAAGGAAAGGAATAGAGGAAGCACATGCTAAAAACATTGCAAAGCCAAAATCGCTTACGTCATGTTCTCAGTGTTGAAGTTTTTAATCCTTTCAAGAAAATGTTCTTTCATAGCGATTGGGTAACCTACAAGACAAATTGATGGCATTGAAAGCTAACTTCTACAGTGAGAAAAAGCGCTCATGAGGATAGGAGCTAGTACCTGAGATTTAACTTCTAAAGACTTTTGCATTTCTTCAACTTGTAAGACAGTCTCCACAATTTTCTTCAGACCAACATTAAAATGAAGTTGCTGTTCTTCCAAATCTGAGCGCTTTTCAGTGTATAGTTTGACAAAATGATCGGGCAAGTCCAGGTAATGCCTATCAAAGGAAAGACAATTTATTACACATCCTTTTGACACACCAAACAGACAAAATTGTTGAAAACCCACCTTGGAGTGATGGCCATGGTCCTGCTGCCTCGCTTGGCAAGTCTCGCATTGGCTTCGAGGAGGGTCTGATGGACATAGACTGCCTCACGGTGAGAGGGCTGGGCCGGCAGTCCAGTGTGCACACATGGGAAGGAGTCGGGCGCCTTCCAGCTCGGGCGATCCAGATCAACGGTACTGGTCAACTCCTTGCCCACCTAACAAGAATTAAATGGACGTCAGTAAAATGGGCCATGAAAACTGGAAGAAAAAACAAGCCAAGACTTGAAATGATGACTTACCTGGAACAGCGCTTCATCAGACCAGTCTCCAAATCAATTGACCACACATCGATTGAACAAGGCAGGAGAAGTGGCAGCCCGATCTTTCAAGCCCTCAAAAGATGGGTGCATTGTGAAAACAAAATGCAAGTTGCGCATCACCCGGTCAGTGAACCACTCGTAAAGCTTCTCGTCCGAGTCAAAAATGGGATCTTTCCTCGGGACAACCTCTCTGCTGCACTCCTTCAGAAGCTCACTTCAAAAAGAAACCGTCCACAACAGTACACTAGTAACTTACCACTGGCACAAGTGAGGTGGTATGGGTCGGGCGCTCCCCCGCCCCTCCCCGCCCCCCCGTCGCGCGCTCCGTATAAGGTCTCTCTGTTACAAAGATTTTTCTTTGCTTTGTTAACTATTACTTTCGAACTTTCAAAGAAATCGCTTTGGAAGTTCACAAACCATATCTTCGCAACGTTGCGTTTTTGGAGCAACTTACGCACTATTTCTTTGCAAAGTGAAGAGAAGTTCGCGGTGTACAAAGCTGGAGACATGGAGCCACACGCCATACCGGAGAATACTTTGTACCGCGAATTTGTTTGCTTTGACAGCTTTCAACATTGTATCGAAAGATCTGTTGCGAGCCCGTTAGGTTTGGTTACAATAGGTTGGACAACTTCGTCTCTGGAGTTTCAGAGAAGCCTCCCATCGCCCTTCCTTCCCCGCCGAAGCCGCCTGGCCGAGGCCGCCGCTCTCCAAGCGCTTCGGGTTCAGGCATAGCTAGGCATAGCATCTTCCTGCACGTGACTGCCGTGCCGTGTTAACCGACTCACGTTATGCCGAGTTTCTCATATACGACTGCAGAATAGCCTCGTAGCATGGAGCACTCGGTAGTTGTTGTTGATAATGTTGATGTTGGTTTTGTTATTGTTGCTGTCTCTGTCTCGCTTCTTGCTGCTCCAGCTGCAGCAGAAGCAGAAGCAGAGCAGACACGGATTATGTCCTATCTGCATTTCGCCCCTTTCTCCATGAGCAGATCGGGAAAAGCGTTATCTGTAGACTGATAACTGTCGAGTGACCCAGCGTGAGTTGAGGACAGGAGCTTCGTGGGATTAGTGCCCCTGTCATAGTGTCACTCGGCTTCTGACTTCTGCCATGAACCAACTTCGCCAGCTAGAGCCAAGGATTATGATTCACTGGTTATCGGATTCGTGGGAATCCTGCTGAGTTGTGATTTGATTCCTACTCGACCTCTTTTGCGTTCCTCATTCTCTAGTTTTTACTGGTTGGTGTCAGTTTGTGCGTGGTTAGGTATTCTAGCTTGACATACTTGGTTGTTAGACTGATGTGTCATGTCCAATGGACATTGTCCATGCTTATGTGACATCCTCGCCTGTTTCAGACTGCCGTTCGTCGTTGACCATGGAGCGACCGCGCCCTGCCTTGTCTCTGCTGCAGCGCCTTGGCTACTCAGTCGGTCACGTTCAAAATGATGTGTGCGCTTCTATGTGGTTTACCTACCTTTTGGTATTTTTTCAAATGGTTTTGGGGTGGCCAGCTCATGTAGCAGGAATTGTAATGTTGATTGGCCAAATTGCTGATGCCTTGTCCACTCCATTTGTTGGTTTGCAAGCAGATCGAAGAGACAAGTTTTGGCTCTGCCGATATGGTCGTCGGAAAACCTGGCATTTAATAGGTATGTAAGACTTAGATGTTTCATCAGATTTCTTTTATGATTCAGTTTTCAGAAATATCTTTGTTTCTTGTTCTGTGACAGGAACCATTTGCGTGCTCGTGAGCTTTCCATTCCTTTTCTCTCCCTGTATTGGCTGTCGCAATGCCCCGGGCGACTATTGGGACCAGCTAGTATATTTTGGAGCATTTGTAGTTGTTTTCCAGTTTGGATGGGCAGCAGTCCAAATTTCTCATTTATCATTAATACCTGATCTGACACCTGACCAGCATACACGAACAGGTCTCATTGCCTGCCGGTAAGTTTTTTGTCAATAGTATGAATTTTGTTTTTTTAGTGTTCAAGTTTCACTTTATCTTTTTGTACTCTGAATTTCAGGTACACCTTTACTGTGATAGCAAGTGTGCTTGTTTATGTAATAACGTGGGCAACTTTCCATTTGTCAACGGGAGATGAGAAAATTGGGCCTGAGGACACCACAAGCTTTCAGGTACTTGACTTGGTTTATTTGGTTCTTTTCTTCTAGTTCACATCTCTTACGTATGTCACTTACAGCTACTTTACACCTTTTCAGATTGTTGTGGCATCTGGTTTAGGCATTGGTATTGTTTGCTCAATACTGTTTCATGCTGTTGTGAAGGAGGCCCCAGTAACAGATGCAGAAGATGATCAGACATCTGCCAATGGTACAACAGCATCTGTTCCTAGTAAAGGAGATAGCCAGAAAACTGTCAAGGAGCAGCTTTGTTCTGTGGCACTGTACCAGGTTGCTTTAGTTTATATGAGTACAAGGCTTTTTGCAAATCTCAGTCAGGTAATTTAGTATTTTAAAGTGCTTCCTCGAGAAGCAGTGTGTGTGTGTGTGTGTGTGTGTGTGTTATTTTCAACTTTGCAGCCTAACTGACAGTCTTGAAATCTTTTTAGGTGTACACTCCGCTGTATCTTAGTGAGCAGAGGCTTGGTGCGGAAAGTTTAGCTATTGTACCTCTTGTTATGTTTTTAAGTAGCTTCTGTACATCTTTTGTCACGAGGCCAATGAACAAGTATCTAGGTAGAAAGGTGAGGTAGTTCTGAGGTGTTTAAAATTCAAATGCTCTTGCCCTGACATTACTGTAAAGAATTATTTCTTTTTTCTAGATTGCGCATTTAGTTGGCTGTTTAATTGGTGCCGGAGGATGTGTGTGGGTGTGGCTTGGTGCTGGACAATTGTACACAACATATGAGGTTTATGCTGTTGCTGTTTTGTTGGGTAGGTTAAACTCCTCTCTTTCCTATTTTCTTGGCAACTTTTTTTTCTGTGGTTTCTTTTTAAATAAATCTAATTTTTCTTAAATCATTGTAGGTGCTAGTAGTTCCATCCAACTTGTGACAAGTTTGGGGTTGACTGCTGACCTCATTGGACAAGATACTAACACAGGGGCCTTTGTATATGGTGCCATGAGTTTTGTAGACAAATTGAGTAATGGTATTGCTATTGCCATATTACAAGCATACTTCAAGTGAGTATTCATTGCATAGGTATTTTATATGACTTTCCTTTAGTAACATTAGTTATTAATAATTCCATCTTTTGCCTCTTTTCAGCGACAACTACCGCAATGTGTTGGCATATGTGTGTGGAGGATCTTGCGTCTTGGGTGCTTTGTCTTTGGCCGTACTCGTTGTGTGCAGGACAAGGAGCCTCTCTAAGTCGGATGCTAATCCACCAGCGCAATTTGAATCATCTTACAGTGAAATATAGTAAATGTTTTGAGACTTTATTCCTCACCAACCATTTACCAAAAATATTTGTAATAGGACTTTTAAAACACCTTTTTAATATTTAAGAACAAACCATGTCATACTCCTTTGCAGATCTTAATTAAAAATTTTTCAAGTAGATCTCCAATGCTATTATATACTAATGAATGAGTTGTTATCAAATATTAAAGTGGTCTTTATCTGTGTACTGTAAGTGTGTCAGTGTTTCAAGATATGGATTTTGGTTATCATATCTTGTACTTTGGTTCTGTTTATAAGTGTCTATTCTTTATGATGTGGAAGTGGCAATTTTTATTGTCTGCCTAGCATACAGGGTTTCCCTTCAACCAGTTTCATCCCATATCCAAAATTGTCTGAAATTAACTATTGTCTTGTGTCTTGTGATATCTACAGTACTTTTAATTATTTATGAGATTTCTGTTTTGTCTTTGTCCATGACATGGTATATATTTCAATTTTTTTCCACCAATGTTTTACGGCTGTGGCTTGGGAGGCATTTTTGTGGACTTTACCGCACATGTTTTGTACATCTTTCAGAAGGGTATTTTAAGGGTGCTCATTGTTTATTTTTCTAGTACTTAAGTATACGCCTAATGAGTTGTGTGATATTAGTTTCCTAATGTGACAATGAATTCATTATTTGTGAGTACTGTGATATGTGTATGATGTGTATATAAAGATTCATTTTCACAGGTCAACTTGGTCACTACATTCAGGCACTTAGCTGACCCAGTGTTAAAAATAATCTCTAATCTGAATTGATTCCGGTCTAGTTTTTGGTGGAGCTTACACAGTTTGTGACATCACAAAGCAAATAAAAAGACCTTAAGTATCCTTGAAGCTGCAGGCAGCCCAAATCATGTTCACATTAGTAAATGGCTATTTTAATTATTGTTATGAAGATTCCTATAGTTAGTGACAATTCCAATTTTGAAAAAATGAGGAATTTTTTTACTCACTCAGGTCTGTACATCTATAAGTGCTGTTTTCAATGTAGTTTGTTTTGTCATGAGACTGGTCTCATGGCTTTGATTTAGATAAAATGTAATGCTGAAATGCGAATATTGTTGTAAAGAATATGAGCATTTATTTTCTAAATATTTTTTAAATGTTAAATACAGATAAATTATCCAATAATCTTTTGAACTGGTGTTTTTTCATTGCCTCCTACATCATGAAACGAATTTCTACAATGTAAAATGAGATGAGAGGTGAAGACTGGCTTGCCACACATTATCGATGTGTCGGCTTCTTCTATCGGCCAGATGCCCGGGGGAAGTCGCACGCCTTGCCTAGGGAAACCTCGAGTAGCAAAGTGGCAACGGCCCCACCGTCAAGTACTGTGGAGTGGAGTGGGCAACGGGCCGGCAACGGGCCGGCACCCGCTCAGGTGCGAAAATAGGGTTTTCTCATTTCTCGACTTGCTGTCGATTATCTCAAGTGGCAGCCCTGCACTTTGGAACAGAGGGTCGGTAGGCAAGGCCTGCCTTGCCCTGCGGGCCATGGTCGGCCATGGCGCACAGGGGCCTTCAGCTATGGCCGCTCTCGGGGTGAAGCACTCCGCATTTTGGTACGCAAGCCTCATCCATTAACGCTCCTTCAATGCTTTCAACGTCAAAAACTGCAGGGCACTGCCAAGCTTTAGACGGCGAGTGCACGAGCGCGCCCGTCCCCCCTCGCGGCAACTACTCGCGTTGCTCGGTGGAGTGGTGGAGTGTCTGTGGCCGTTCCGAGAACGAGGCAACGAGGCGTGCCACCTCGCACGGACGGAATGTCGGAACGGGGCTCTCTAGACCGGCCGGGCCGGGACGACGTCCTTCCCGAGGATGGACTCTTCGAGGGCCTGCACTGTTATGTAAAGACACCACACGTGTGGCGTGGCCGCATCGCCCAAGGCGTCGCCCTGCGACGTGGCCATCGTCGACCCTCGGAATTCGCTGCTTGCGCGTGGCACTTGTTGACCACCGATACATGTGGCGCCACTTAAATGTGACGCAGGCCCGTTCAAGGAATGCCGCAAAGCAAGTGACTCAAACGGCAACGCAAACAACGCACATGCAAAGCAGAAAACAACAATAGAATAGTAATCTGCTGTATTGAAGTGATATGGACGGAAGCATCCTTGAAGAACAATGGAAGATAGATAGGTGGAAGGACGAATGACTCAACGTTCTCAAACAAAGGGAGATCAAATCAAAACCAACAGTGGCTGCAGCTCGCTTCTCACCAACGAATCAAAAACTTGTCTCACACAAACAGATACAACTGTCAGGACTTCCCTCCCCGTCCCCTCTCCACCAAGGCTTGTCTAGGTCGCTAAAGTCGTCTATAGATAAGCGATTTCCCCAGTTTCCCATTTCATCTCCTCAAGCAGCCAAAGAACACTTTTCACGCTCGGTTCCTTGACTCGGAAAAAAACTTTTGATCTTCCAGCACGTTTCAAATTTCCCGCCCAGTTGCTCTAGGCACTACTAACAGACAGTACTTTCTTCATACAGTTTCGGTGATTTCTGTCCAAAAATATTGAAATTAAAGTACATATTCGTTTCGAAACTGGTACAAACGTTGGAATGGAATCTCAACAAACACTACAACATAAAAGTGCATAGTTTGGATCGAGCAGTTAGACCCACCCCCTGCGAGTGACAGTTGACTGTCGTCAGCAGAGCAGAAGGCCTTTAGGGGGTGTTGTTAGTGATTCATTCCTCGTTCGTCACAGGAAAACACGTAAGAGTCATTTTCTTTTCCACTTTCTCTACATTGAGTCCCTCTCTAACAGTTTTCCTATCCTAGCTATCCCTAGTTCTAGAGTATTTCATTCAATATTAACCCTTTAACTTAGAAATAGGAAGCTCTCAGACTTGTTTTTGTTATTGTTTTTCATTGTGCGTTCTTCGGTGGGGAGTGCCTAGCTGAATGCCTAGCATGAATGTTTGCTTCGAACTTTCCTTTTGGAAAGAAATAAACCGACCCCACCCCTCAATGGAAATAAGATGCTGTAAATCGAGAAAAAAACAATGATAACTCATTATGTGCTACCTGGCATGAAACTATGTCATGTCGTTTGCAGACACCATCTTCCTTTCTTCTTCATGAGTTCACAATGACTCAGAATTTTTTAGATGAAAACGTATTTTAGAACAACAATTGCTTATATTTAATTTAACCACTTTCATTTTTATTTTTCCCCTATTTGTAGTTATCATGATAATTATTGTATGACACATCCTTTCGAGGAGAGGAACCCCTCCACTTGTCACCCGCAAAACAATCATGTCATACCGAGGGAGTGCAAGCTCGTTGAGCGCACTGCCTTTGAGCAGTGCTGCAGCACTAGCCAAAGCGCCCACAGCCCTGGAGCAACTGCTTGAGGAAATCAACTTTCAGCGTACCAAAGAAATGCGACAAATGCTTAAAGATGGTAAGACTTTCTTGACTTTATCTAATAGATATACTTTTAATTCTTCCTCAAACAAACATGTTTTTTATTCTTATATAGATTCAGGGTTTGTCATGGTGCATGGAACTACGTACTGGACAGATCTTTTCGTGAGACATTTTCTATTTCAAACTGATCGGAATATAGATTGTGATGATCTTCTGTTTTTTGTTCGTAAGAAACACATAAAGAGTTCCTCTAGAATCCTTCCAAAGTTTGAAGTAAGTGTGAGACAAATGACGCATTTTTAAGATCTTGTTGAAAACATAAGCTGAATGTTTCTCTCTACATCTGTCTATGTTCTAGACTGAAGTGGATGTGTTCAGGAAAGCAAGCCGCAAACTGCCTATTGGAGATCCAGACATGGATTGGGAGGAAACAGTGTATCTGAACTTAATTATACATCAATTTGACTACACTTTAACTTTGGCCATCTGCACAAGAACCAGCCCCAAAGAACTGCAAGTTCTTCGAAGGCACTCTCAGGTACATATAGAGGTGGAACCCAAAAGGAATCAAGGAATCAACTGCATCAGGCATTCTAAATTTTTTGTTGCCTTACTTTTACAGAAAGTATATGCATCCCCCAGTAGAAGAAGAATGGATACTAAAGCAGAAGTGGAAGAAATGACTTACCCAAATGTTTGCTTTATGGTGGACAATTTCAATGAGGTTTGTTTGTTTCCTCTATTACCATTATAATTTCTTAAAATATTGATTTTTTTAAAAATTTTGTTTTGTTGAGCAGGTATTTTCAGACATAATGGTTAGAGATGGGGAAATGGTGTGTGTGGAATTAGTTGCTTCTGACAGAGATGGAGCAATTCAGGGTGTCATATTTCTTGGCTCTATCCGCTATGATGCACTCAAGAGAGTGTATGATGCCAGGGTAAGTTGACCCGATTAAATTAAAATAATATTTTACTCTCAAAAATATGAATTAAGCTTTCTGTTTTTCTTCTGTTTAGTCAAGTTTGAGTTCAAAAATGGCTCAAAGGATGACATTTGGTCTTTTCTCCAACTCCTCATCACAAAGAGTTGAGTTTGTACGGATGAAAGGACCACAAGGAAAAGGCCATGCAGAAATGGCTGTGACAAAACCCAAAGGTAATGTGATGTGTACAGCCAATTTTGAGTTTCATGCTTTTGTGCATCCTCTTTGACAAGCACTTTACCGCCAATGCATTTTATTTATTTAGGATACTCTGGGGCTGAGACACCAACTTCAGAGCCAGGCTACTGTGCAACTGACATGTGGGATTCTGATTGGGATTCTGATCCTGAAGAATTTTTTGTGTACAGACACCAGGTGATCGTTAAGCACTAATTCTTCCTCCAAGTTGTTTGATTCAGACTTGTTGCCTTGCTAATATTATGTTTTTTCCTATTCAGCGTCGACTGAGTGATCCCAGTGCAAATATTAACAATTTTGTTAGAGGAGGATGGAAGACAAAGCCCTCAGATTCGGCTGGCTCTAAAGCCAGGTCAGAAAATGAAGGCCTTGATTCCCTTGCCAATGGTCTCAATGAGATAGAAGCTGGAGATCTCAGAGATGGTGAGTTTTGTAAGGGAATTGTGACACTGCTTTGAGCTTAAAACCTCAGGTGCCCTTTTACTTCTAGCAAGTCCTGGCAATGAATCACAAAATGTTATTCAGCGAACAAACTGTGCTTCTTGTCAGTTGATAGACTGCATGACATGTGCATGATTCAAATCTATCCAATGTGTGACATGCTTTCATTTGACATATTTTAAGGGAGCTCTGCCCGTCATGAAGCATAGATACTAATTTTCACAAAATTTTAGAGGCTGGTTCCATGTATTTTCTTCTCAACACTTAACATGTAAAGATTAGCATTTATACAGTTTGGCATTTAATTATTTTTTTTTAAATCAGTGGTAATTTTTAAGTGTAATGTACCATGCTGCTGCTTTTTATTAAGTGAAGGGATTCATGTAAATTAAGGTGTTCATTTGAGCACAAAAATAATTTACTCCATGAAAAATGACAGAGAAGTTGCTACTGTAGTGTTTAAAGACCAGTCAAAGATTGATACTTTTCTCGCTTATTTATCTTTTGTAAGAATTCCTACTGTTGGTATCTGTGCATTTCTCCTCTATCTAAAAAAAATTCTGAAATCTGTCATGACATAGAAAGCTATTCTAGATAGATGAACAACTTGTCAGATTAAATTCTATCTGATTCAAATTTTTCATGCTGAAAGGAAAGATTTGTTCCCTCACCATTTTTATTTATTTCGCTTTTTTTTCGTTTTGTTTCTTATGTTTGTAGATTGCGAGTTTTGCGTGCACTCTGCCTCCATTACCACTTCTGATGCTTCCCCTCCTTCAAGAGCCAGCAATACTATTACAAAGGCTACTAGTTCCTCTGCCACAACTACCACTTCCACTACCTCTTCCACTTTGTTTAGAAGTCTCCCACCAACATCTATCATATCTTCCTTTTTCCCCAACTGCAAGTCAAAACGCCCTGGGCGAGTAGTCCCATGTGCATCAGAGACTGATGAAGGGGAGATCGAGCAGCCTTCTGAGTGCAAATGCACAGATGATGATTTGCTAAAGGTCCCAGAGGGCCGATGCCACTTTGAAAGAACCCCTCCACCTGCTGAATTAGTATTTTGTGAGAAAGAGTCCTTACATGTCTACGCTGAGGACAGCAAAGCCCAGGGCCTTGTATCCAATATCGCAGATGCTGATCAAGAGAGTAAAAACAAAACTGTAGTTACAGTCAATACTGCAGAGAGTTCACAACCCTGTCATTTAGAAGGCGAGACAACGCAATTACCAGTAAATAGTGGAGACCTGGAGGAGATTGAAGGTAGCGATGATGATTTTGAAGACTGTAATTCCTCAATTAGCAATGCAAGCACATCTGTTTCATCACAGAAATCTTGTGATTTGGGTGAGGAACCCAAAGAATCAGAGAGTCACAGTGATGTTTGGAGTGATGCAGAAGAATTGTCCCAAACTAATGAAATTGCAGATTTAAACATAAGCAATGAAACTTTACTCAAAAGTAACTCTGAATCTTTTAGTGACGGGGCAAACACAGGATATTGTAATGATGATATTTTACCATCCTCAAAAGTAGGGAATTTAATGTTGTGCCGTTCAGAAGATGAGGAAAAAATTAGCTCACAACATAATAAGACAATTCTTGAAAACTTGTTGACTGAAGTGGAGAAACAGACTGTGATAAACTCGTGTGAGGAAGAAAATACTAAGACTCCCAGTGAAAAATGCAGCTTTCTACCAACAACTAACAAAGTTGTTGAAGAACCCAAGACTGATTTTGAAGTGTGTGCTCATGGCATTGAAATGACAAGTTTGTGCCTTTTGTGCCTGGGATACTCAAAAACTGCATTTTGGCAAAAATCTGACTGTGCATTTAGACTGAAAGCGAATTTCCAAAGTGGTGAAAGTAATGAAGATGAAAGACTAGAAAAGAAGACTGAACATTTGACATTTACAAATTCAAAATCTGTTAGAGTAGATTCAGGGAGTGAAATGCACTCCCAAACTTTACCTCGCAGACGCAAGTCAGAATCAAGCATGAGACAAAAGCGTAATGTTGTACCTCCACATAAGATATTACCCGATGGAACAGTCATTTACTATTGGTGTGATGTCCCAGGTGGACTAGGAAAATCTCAAAATGGTATGTCCACTAGTGGTACTGGTATTTCCTAGTGAGACCATACATCTGTGGTCTGTACTTATCTATGAGCCCTTTCAGTAGTTCTATAACTGTGCAGTGCTCACCTCTTGCTTGTCATGTGTGGCATTTTGTTACTCCTAGTGTTTTGTGCAAAAAAAAAAAATATTTGTGCTTTCATAGTATTTAGAAATAGAAAGAACGCCCTATGAGCCATGATTACAGGGCCACTTCACTTTGCAGCTCAGCTATTCATTGATTAATTTTGAAAATAAATTGATCAAGCCTATTACCTTTTAATGTTTCTTTTTTAATTACAGAGCTTGATGATGGAGCTTACAACCCACTGTGGACCATGCGAGGATTTACTCAAACATTCCATTTTTGGAAAGAGAACAAGAGAGCCCAATCTGTTCCATTGAATGCATTTCTTACTTATGTAACTCTGCCATGGTGGAGTATTGTTAAAGGTAGGCTGCATCAAATACTTGTTGAAATCCTAAAGTTCACTTTCATTTTTGTAAATCAGAATATAAATTCTTGCTTGCTTATTTTTTCAACAGACATCTTGGATCACCGAGAAAGTCCCATTTTGACTTTCTAATTTGGAAAGGTGCTGCAGCAAGTAGTGCCAACCACAGATACTTGCATCATAGACTCTAGTCAAAAACTACATTTAAATTTGTTCCTTGCAAAACTTTAAAAGATAAAGAGAAAAGAAGTAAACTGCGTGATTAATATTGCACTCATTGACTGTCGACATTGTTAGAACCTACCTCAGAGGTATATTTTTCTCATGTTGAAGGTAGATATTTGTTTCATGCTTTCCATCTGTACCCCGGCATTTAAAGTGTCCCCTACAAAATAGTACAAAGTAAAGAAAGAGAAAACTGTAATTCAGTTGGAATGGTGTTTAGTGTTCAACTCTGCTCTGCCAAGGTTTGCATTTTTTTAAATTTATTTTTTAACGCAAAGCTGCTCTTGCAAGAATCAAACAAGCTTCAATTCCTAGTAGCTAATGTATAGCCAAACTAAGTTTCAGCTGAAATTAGCTTTCTAACAAAGATAAATGTAAGGCCAAATTTTGATCTCTCTCTTAAATTTTTCTAGAAATGTGTTTGACATCTTCAAGAGTTTATTTCTTGTATTTTGAAAGTATATTGAATGTTGCAACAATTGTAAAGAGATTTGCATAACATATACATTTAATCTTTCATGTAGTAAAAAGGAGTACTTTTGTTTACAATCTTAATTACTCAAATGCAGTTTATAAAATGAAAGGTGGGGTCAAGAAGCTTTTCGCCCTGTACAATATGACACCATCTATTTGGAAACTTAATGCCTCTTATTGTATGCTCTAGAGTAGTTTGACTGTACTCAAAGTATGTTGTTGGGATTGATTGTTCAAAATATTTTTTATTGAGTGAGTTGTTCTGAGAATGTTTAAGCCAAATCATCTAGGGTGGTTAGAATTTATAAGACAATTTATTCCTCTACAATATTTATTGAAGTGTGTCAGCAGTTCTTGATTAATAAAATATTGGTTGTACCATGACAGTTTGGTGGTATTTTTTTTTCTAACCTAAAGATAGAGAAGCCCAGTGAGAATTCATTACAGTGAACTGCTCTCTTCAAAAAGTTCAGACAAATCGGCCAATAGTATACAGTATTGTATTTAGGTTTTTGATAAAATGACAAGCAAGGAGAAAGATTTAATGACAGCAAACAACCACTTCATAATCTCAAGGTCCCAAGATTGGTCCCAAAATATTTTTTAAACATTTTTATGATTTTTTTTCTAAATTTTCTTGTGTACCTCCTCTTGAGCCAGTCATTAAACTTATTTGATGGTAAGTATGGTACAGAAAGTAAATCGATTCAGAAGAACTTCACACCTTGATTGTCATCAAATGAAATAATTTCCGCCTTTTTCTGACTTTCAAGTACTTGTAAAGCTCTCGACAGAACTTCCTGATCGAGCCCGTAGAATTCTGAAGTGAACACGAAATGATCCAATTTTAAAGGATAATATTGTGAACCAGATTAAATTCTCAGAAACAGAATGGTACTTACCTTGGTCAGTTGTATCATCTCCGGAAACGAGTTCAAAAAATGTACAGACGGAGTTGAGGGATCCACTAGCCTGAGCCCAAGAATAGATGAGTGCTGCCCACTCTTCCAGAGTGTGCCAGTATATCAGCCACCTAAACACAGAAAGAATTTTTTATTTTTAAAAATTGGAAATTAACACAAAACAAGTCTTACCCACACCTACCTGTTTCGTGTTTTGTCTAGAGGTTCGGCATTGCCAGTTTTCTGTAAGTCTTCAAGGACTAAAAGTATTCCTTCAACAGGAAGTTTGCCTTGGGGTTAATGTTAAGGTTAATAAGACAGATGAAATGAACTTCACAATTCTGGGTCACATACAATAAAGGATACGATCAATACTACTATTACTAAATAAACTATTCTGATGAGCTTCTCGAACATCTAGCAAACTCTGTTTGCTAACTTTGTGAAAGTTTAAAACTAAAGTACGCCATGCTTGAAGCTGTCGAGCCTTGGTCTCTGCGTGTGGTTGAATTCTGAAAAAAAAAAAAGACAATATTCAGCAATTAAGGGGCGACAGGCGAAGTGGCTATGGTCAGTTCATGCTGTTCATGAACGCCAACCCTGGCGTGTTTTGAGACAGCCGTTGAAATAAAATATTATTCATTCAAAGACTGACAATATAAAAGATTACAGCCTAATTGACAAGACTAAAAACTAACTGAAAACAGGCAAAAAGCTACCATTTGACAGGAGGTTTTGGAGGTTACAGAGACCGTCACTCAAAGGCACAAATAGCCGGTTGCCATGAAAATCATTCAGCCACTGCCAGTGCGAAAGGAAAGATAAACTTACGTAAAGAATGGAGGGAAGCTGTACTGCCAAGGCCACTCGATTTCCGCCATCGTAAAATAAAAATGTTCAATAATCAACAAAAATAAACCTTTCACCGATCTGTTGTATTCCAGCAGTATGGAAAAGTTAGCAGAGCAGTGCAATGCAAATGCAGACGGCGTGCAGACGGTACTGTTTTTGCTAGACTCTAGGTGACAGAGCAGTTTTGCCTGTTTATGATTTCTAGAAACAGCAACAAAGTCTGGCAACATGTCTACATCATTACAAGAACTGTACAATACTTATAAGAAATGGGTTAGTGATAATCCATTGATGGCTTCAGACTTTGAAACGACTGCAAAGTGGATATCATATATTTTTGCAGGTTAGAAACTAGTGGATTCAACCCTTTTGTTCATGATAATGTTTCAATATTCTTCAATTTGAATCTTCATCTATCTTCAAGTAACTATGATGGTCTCTTTTTGATGTATGTCTCAGGTCGCATTCAAAGTTCAAGTGTCATCACTGAACTTGTGTATTCCCTCTCCAACCTCCTGGTTCTCTTTAATGATTGTATCATCAATGAATCCCGGAGAACATTACCTGTGACGTCAGGGGCATCCCTGAAAGCATGGTTGACAGTTCTGGAGTATGCGGAAGTTTTCCTAGAGATCACCGCTAAAAGTGTGTGGGGTGAACGAGGAAGATGGATCCTGATCGCCATAGTGCAAGCTTTCAAGTAAGTAACTTTCCTATTTAAAATGACTGATAACTTGTGAGCGTATCATAACAAGTTTATTCTGTTTAGATGTTTAGCCCGGATGAGTCTCTTACTCACACACAAGGAACAAATGGTACAAATGCCTCCCATTGCACCACTGAAGCGTCGCACTATTCTTAGTCAAGAAAACCAAGATACTCCCACAACCATAGGGTTTTCACTTAAATCAGGACGTATTGTGCGCTGTGTTAACAGTGGTAAGTTTAATATAGTTCAATTCTTTTGGGGCAAATCAATAATGTCCTTTTATCTTCTAATATTTTATTTGCCCAGCTACTCCCGCACATTTGAGATCATGGAAGCCACCGGCCTTCACTGCAACACAACCTGATGGTAGTGTTCCAGATAAAGTATTGGACAGCAATCTGTTGTTTGCAGAGGTACATAATGTCACACTTAATTTTTGGTAAATACATGCATTTTTGTTCCTTATATGTGAGTTTACTTCCAGGCAATATACATTATGAAGCCTGTACTTCACTTATGCTCAATGATGCGGTTTGGGCCAAAGGCATGGAGACCCTATGTTTTGTCTCTGGTATTGGATGTTGCAAGGTGAGAACTTCTTTTGCAATATGTGCTGGTGCATAAGTTCAGTATTCAATACCTGAGTTCTTATATCTTTCTTTCAGTCTGCAAATGTTCCGAAGAGCCGACAAGGCAAAGATTGGCTCTGCGTTGTCTCCTCGACAGAAGATGGAGTTGTCAAGACGTGAAGTTGCTCTACTTCTGTATCTCCTTCGGTCGCCGTTCTATGATAAGTACAGCAAGAGACGTATCCAGAAACTTTTGGATGCTTTTTCCAACAACCTTCCCCTTGTAGGATATATTCTTCGACCTCTTGCACAATATATTCCTCACTGGCAGGAAACTTACTTTTATATGTGGTCTTCTTAGAGAGCATTGTATGTGTTAATTAATAGAAGGTAACTTTAATCCATTCCTTTCTTTCTCGTACCCTGTGGAGCCATTTGGAGCTGTCAATTCAAATTAACAGTTCACATCAAATCCTCCATGTTGGTTTAGAAAAGAGATAGAAAACAAAATTCAACCAAAGCTTCTTAATCAAAGGAAAAGTATTTTTACAGCTTGAATATAAATAATTGAACATACTCTGTAAATATTTTTGAAACTATTGCGTTAAGAGGGAAGAAAAACATAATTTGTTTTGAATTCCAATATTTTTTTATGGACTTTCTAAGTTTGATACTACTGTGTTTGTTTTGAAACACTAGGCCATGACGTTTTGTGTCAAAACATGTACCTAATATGCACTGTCCATTGGAGAATCCTCAAGGTTAATTTTTGACTTATATAACTGGTAAGATTTCTTTTATGTTGAAGGAAGAGCACAAGGAATCCTTACATGGTCCTTCCAGTTGATTGTATTGTGTACTGTGTGTGTATTCAGGTGATGGGATGAAGTGGGAATGGGACTTCAATGAGTAGTACATGAACCAGCTACAGTGATTCTTGGTGTGAGTTTAATTTTCTGAAAAGTAGAAATACTTTGAATCATATTACTTTGACCTTTTGAATGGCTTTGGTAGCTGATAGCTGATATGAAACTTTGCCAATAAGTTAATGTTGGCTTAGTTGTTTGTTTTTTTTTACCGACTGTCAGACAGCACAATCTCTTTTCTTTGTATTTGTCAATATCCATTCTTTGATGTAAAACATGAACATTTCAAAAAGGGTCCCAGCCAACACCTGAAAACGTTTGTATTTTGAAAGCTGTGATTTTTAGGCTCTCACATAGATTTCTCAGAAAAAATAAGATTAGACTTAGACTGTAAATAGTTTTCTAAGAACTTTTTTACAAGATGTTTTTAATACTGTTCTTTATTATTTCCTAAACTACAGATTTTTTTCGATTTTGCTGATGTTTTAATAATAAATAAACAAAGTACTTTTTTTTCCAATAGGTCTCCCTTTTTTAAGTACAGGGATTTCACAGTTGCCGGATTAGTCAAAAATCTTCTTTCTTAAAAATAATAAAAAGAATTATAATAAATAGATTTTTAGATTGTTAAGATTTTTTCTTGATCCAGCAACTGCAGTCATTCCCTGGCTGAGTGTAGACATGCGTGGGGACTAAAGGCACGTGAACTTACAGCGAGGGCCTGACAGTTCCAAATTCCACTTTGCATCAAAAGGAATCGAGTCGAGCAGCCAGAAATGGCTAGGTCCCCCAGATCGGCCTCCAGTGTGCCACAATGGGCGTGGATCGACTCCCCGCGCGAGGGACTCTCGGTGGGGAAATCCCCTCGCGCGCGGGGTATTGACCAGGTCTTCTTTTCTCTTTTCGGGGGTGGTTGGTGGGCAGTTCGTCTCCAACTTCGCGAGACAGTTGAAGCTTGAATTTCGAGTTGGGTCCCTGGACGGCGGGGACACTTCCCGGAGAAGCCTCTTCCAGGAACCGCGCGCGCTCTCTCCAGCAGAGCCCCTCCAGGAGAGGCTCCGGCGCACTCCAGCGGGACGCGGCGGGAAAGTGAGCCGAGGCTCTCACTGAGGCAGGCCGAAGTCGAGTCGGGACGGGAGTGGAGTCGAGGGCCGAGTAGCACGTGGCCCGGCGGGCGCGGTGCGCGGTGCGGGCAGGTCCACCAAGCGCACGCCATCCGCGACCTCCCGGGCCCTGCACGCCCTCGAGGCCGAGCTGCAGGCCCTAAAGGTCAGCGGAGGGCTTCCTCCGCACGAACCTGGAGAAGTATTCGGGCCGCCAGCACTTGCAGGAACCGGGGACCAGGAACCAGTCGTAGTACAGTCGCACCTGCGGCCATTTCGCGGAGTCAATCAAGCGCATCAGAGTGCAGTGGTGACGGGGCGCCCGTCTTTCACTCCAGTTGGCCTGCAGCGCGAGCGAAGAAAGGCCAGCCGAGGTTCTGGGACGCACAGTGGGCCAGAAGGCCGGTGGAGGCGGCTACAACTCTAGACGCGCTTTGAGCCGAGCGTGTGACCCCACCAATGGATTGCTCGCCGAGCGAGGAATCCATTGGTGGAGTCACACGGTCGGTCCGAGTCCCAGCGGCTCTGGAGCTCAAAACGCGTCTACAGTTTTGGCCGCCCCCACCAGTCTTCTGGCCCACTGCGCGGCGGCGCCCACTCGGTGCAGCACGCAGCACTCACCTGGAAGCAGCCGATCTCGTCCACGCCGTCGCAGTGCGTGTTGGAGGCCGCGGACACCGAGGCCCTGCCCGTCGAGGCCGTGGAGGTCGAGTTGGCGGGCGACTGGTTGGAGTGCAGCAGCGTCTGCCGCGCCGAGCGCTTGTGGAGGAACTGCGCCGAGTTCTGCGAGATGGAGTGAGTGCGTTTGTCAGCAGGCATTGCGGCAGGAAAGGGACTGGACTCGTGGTCGAGGGGCGCGCCTCACAGTGGGCCAGAAGACCGGCGGAGGCGGACAAAACTCTAGACACGTTTTGAGCTCCAGAGTCGCTAAATGGGACTCGAACCGAACGTGTGACCCCACCAATGGATTCCTCGTTCGGAGAGCAATCCATTAGTGGGGTCACACGTTCGGTTCGAGTCCCATTTAGCGACTCTGGAGCTCAAAACGCGTCTAGAGTTTTGGCCGCCTCCACCGGTCTTCTGGCCCAATGTGCGCCTGTACCGCCCGTGCGTTACCTGGTCCCTGGGCAGCACGGCGTCGGGGTAGTACAGCTCGGCGACCAGCATGCTCAGCCACCGCGGCGAGGACAAGCACGCGCCGTCCATGTAGTGGCACTTGTTCTGCCTGCGGGACAAACACAGACACTTGACGACGGAGCCGCGGCCTTACGGCAAACAAGCGGACAACGCTGGGACTCACAGGCAGCGCGTCACCTCCACGGTCTGCGTGAAGTAGCCCTCGTAGGGGATCTGCACGACGTAGCGCCAGACGCCCTGGTAGTTGCGGGCGAACACGGGCGTCGAGTACTCCACCCTGGCGGGACACGGCGTCGGCGGCGGCCCGTCGTGGCCCATGTGCGGGCCCTGGGGCGGGCCGCCGGCGGGGGCCTGTGGGCCCGGTGGTGGGCCCTGAGGGGGCGCGCCGGGGCCGTGCGGCCAGGGGCCGGCGCCGTCCTCGCGACGCTCGGGGCCGCCGGCAGGGCCTCCGGGGCCGCCACTGGGCGCGGAGCCGCCCTGGCGGAGGCTGCCGCTGCTGCCACCCAGACCCAGCGCGCCCAGCGCGCCCAGAGGCTCGCCCTGGATCGCCTTGTACAGCATGCACATCCTGGCGCAGGACGAAGGACGCGTTACTCCAAAGTACTCCTCGCTGTCTGCCTCACGCCAAGGTACAGTGGGCCAGAAGACCGGTGGAGGCGGCCAAAACTCCAGACGCGTTTTGAGCTCCAGAGTCGCTAAATGGGACTCGAACCGAACGTGTGACCGCACCAATCGATTGCTCTCCAAACGAGGAATCCATTGGTGGGGTCACACGTTCGGTTCGAGTCCCATTTAGCGACTCTGGAGCTCAAAACGCGTCTGGAGTTTTGGCCGCTTCACCGGTCTTCGGGCCCACTGTGCGCTGTCTGCCTCGCGCCAAGGACTGCACTCCACTTACACTCCGCCGCCGTTGTCGCAGAACTTGCGGCCCTTGCGGCTCGCGGACCTGCCCTCCAGCGGGGCGGGGACGACGGGGACGACGGGGACCTCGTCGTGGTCCTGGGGGACGACATCGCGGCGCCGCCGGTTCAGCCTGCAAGCGGAGAGCAACGCGCTGCAGTGTGTACAGTGTGCCGACTGACGGCCGCCGAGTCGGCGATAGGCAGCCACGCCACCACGGCGCTCTACACGGCATGCCCCACGAGTGCGAGAGGGACGGGGAGACAGAGCGGCGCGCACCTGTTGTTGTTGGGGTTGCTGTAGTAGCCGCCCTCGGCGGACTTGGCCACCTTGGGCAGGGACTCGTCGGCCTGCAGGATGGGCAGGGCCTTGCTGAAGAACTCCAGCGTCTTGTTCTTGATCAGCTCACTGGAACAGTGGAGTGGGATCGGTGAGTCGAATGTCAGCGCCACTGGAAGAGCACCGGCAGAACGATAGGCACTCACAAGGGGTAGGGCGCCCCGTTGGTGGTCGGCCTCATCGGGTTCCGGGGGATGACGCCCTTGTTGAGGTCGCCGCAGAGGTTGTTGAGGGACTTCTTGGCGGAGCTACTGGGGCCGGCAACGCCTGGAAGAGGGCGGAGAGTTGAGCAAAGCGAGTCAGTGCCAGCCTCGGGCGCACAGTGGATTTGCCAGAAGACCGGTGGAGGCGGCCAAAACTCGAGACGCGTTTTGAGCTCCAGAGTCGCTAAGTGGGACTCGAACGGAACGTGTGACCCCACCTATGGATTGCTCCCCGAACGAGGAATCATGGGTGGGATCACACGCTCGGTTCGAGTCCAGTTTAGCGACTCTGGAGCTCAAAACGCGTTTGGGATTTTGGCCTCGCCCGCCGGTCTTCTGGCCCACGGTGGGGCAGCACAAAGCCTTACCTGGACAGGGCACGTCGACGAACACGTAGGGAGGCGGCCCCACCTTGGGCGGCTCGGCGCTGGGGGCCTCCACGAACGCCATGTAGCCCTCGGGGGCCTCGATCAGGGGGTCGGGGGGACCCCCTGGGAGCCCCGGCGCGCTCTGGGCCAGGCCCTGCCCCCCATGGGGGCCGCCATGGCCCTGGGGACCACTGCCCACTCCGCCCCGCGAGTGGGACACGACGCCCTGGGCGCTGGCCGCCCACAAGCACACTACGGCCTGCAAGGAGAGAGAGACGATCAAAGACGGGGACATGGACAAGGGCAAGGACACCAAGTTCAAGGTCAGCCCCAGTCCTTGCTGCCACGCACCGCCACCACGCCCCCCTCAAGTATGCCGGCTCGGTGGCCGTGCGGCCGCCGTGGCCAGGCCCGGATCTGGGTCAAGCCGGGGCAGCCACTGCGCTGCCGACTCGGTGGGGGCGTGGCGGGGCGTGGCGGGGCGTGGCGCGTAAACCTGCTCCACCCTCTCCTCTCCCCTCTCGCCCCGCCAGACCGTCAGCGACGTCGGCGACCTGGAAGTGGCCGTCGGCCGTCCCATCCCCCGAGTCTCTGACGCTGAACCTGAACCCAGCCAGCCGCGCAACGCGGTTCGATTTTGATTTTCATCGTCGTGAACGTCGTGAAGAACCTGAATCTCACATAGCACCACTTGGGTCACGTCGCGTGCTCAGTGAGGACACATCCACTGCCTCTCTCGTGCTCGCATGTAGCCCTCAAAGAACCAGTGTTGCCTCATAAGTAGGCAAACATTCCCACGGTGCATCAGTGTTGGAAGGGTCACCCCAGCCTGCGTAGACAATGCTAGGCGTTATTATCTCATGGTCTGGGATTTGCTCTTCAAGCTGTGTAGTACGCAGGCTGAGATGGGCAATTGAATCCTTTCGACGCTGGTGAAGTTTTTGCCCTCATGTGGCGACACTATGGAAGTCGATGCGCAGGTTGCCAGCAACCCCTTGCGGCTCGTTCCAGCGAACACCCCCTAGAGGGTGAAGAGGGAGAGGGCCCCCCAAGGGGCCCCCACGCACAGTGGGCTCGCTCGGCGAGCAATCCATTGGTGGGGTCACACGTTCGGTTCGAGTCCTGTTTAGCGACTCTGGAGCTCAAATCGCGTCTAGAGTTTTGGCCGCCTCCACCGGTCTTCTGGCCCACTGTGCCACGCCGACGGCATGCCGACGGCGACCACCCACCTGCAGTGGCCCTGCAGTGGCTGACGCCGACCCAGGTCTGGTCTGATTCAGGTCAGGAGGAAGTTATCGGAGGCGAGGTGGAGACGGGTATCCGGCCAGGACAAGGTCCGGGCTAGGACCGGGGACCCGGCGGTCCCGTAAAGGGGACGCCTCGCGCGAGGCTAGACGCCGCTAGACGCGGAGCGGCGCGAGGCTAGACGCGATTATCCTTTGGAATGTTGAACGATGAGTGCCTGTCACCGCCCATTCGATCTCGTGGGAACCGCTGGGGCTGCGGCTCCTCGACGTACTCGACGTAGTCGACGTAGTCCTGCATGCTCTGGAATGCGGCGCCCCGGGTGTGGCCTCCGTGGATTGTCATTGGAACGAGGAGTCCACGCGTCCCACCGCCTAGGTGAGCCCTGGGGACCCACAGTGGGCCAGAAGACCGGTGGAGGCGGCCAAAACCCTGGACGCGCTTTGAGCTCCAGAGTCGCTAAATGGGGCTCGGACCGAACGAGTGACCCCATCAATGAATTGCTCTCCGAACGAGGAATCCATTGGTGGGGTCACACGTTCGGTTCGAGTCCTGCTTAGCGACTCTGGAGCTCAAAACGCGTCTAGAGTTTTGGCCGCCTCCACCGGCCCAGTTGAGATGCGTCGCCTGCGTCCCCGCGCGTTCCACACTCGGGCACCGCGTCCACTCCGCTTGCTCCGCCGGGTGCTTCCGGTCGAGGAGCGTTCCCCTCGTTCCACTCGTTCTCCCATTCCTAACTAATGACCGGGTCACGAGGCTTGAGGCTGCTTGAGGCTGCTTGAGGCGCGGCGCGCGGCGCGGCTGACACGGAGAGATGCGCCTCCAGGCTCCTGCTCTAGGCGACTCGGGGACCGACTCGGGGACCGATGTCCTGTTTAGATATCCCTAGGGACCCGCCCGCCAGCACCGCCAGCCACCCCGGGGCCCGGCCTAGGCGTCTAGGTGCCTCTGGGCCCAAAACGGATTTAATCTCCCTGACAAGGAGCGGGATGCGGGCTCTTGATGGGCCGCCCTTGGCCAGGGCTCCAGGCTGGGCTAGGTTAGGGCAGCATCCGTCTCTCTCGCACTCTCGCGCTCGTGCGGCGCCGCGTAGGTGTGCGAGAGAGACAGAGCGACCAAGCCGAACTGGTTGTGCTGGACCTGCCGGACCGTCCACCGTCCTCTGCCCGTTTTGAGCCGCTAAGCGGGTCAGGCCGCCACGCCGCCAGGCCGTCAGGCCAGACAGGAGTACCGATACACTCTTTTGTTTGCGTCGCTTTCCGGAACGTGATGAATAATGGGGCGGGCTGGCTTGCATGATGTTGGCGTACAGTGGGCCAGAAGACCGGTGGAGGCGGCCGAAACTCTAGACGCGTTTTGAGCTCCAGAGTCGCTAAATGGGACTCGAACCGAACGTGTGACCCCATCAATGGATTCCTCGTTTTAAGAGCAATCTATTGGTGGGGTCACACTTTCGCTTCCAGTCATGTTTCGTGACTCTAGCGCTCGAAACGCGTCTGGAGTTTTGGCCACGCAAATCCACTGTGGCAGCCTGCAGTGTGCTGCACGTGGCTGCACGCACCACACCGTTATCGTAATTGGGCGCAACAACGCACATGACACCGTTTTGTTTTTGTTTCGAGGAGAACACAAAAACAAAAACATGCATCGAGGAGCATGGCCGCAACGGGAAACGAGAATAGCAACAAGGAATTCAATCAGACAAAATGAGCAAAGCCCTCTGCAAAGGACCTGTGATGTTTCCCACGCCAGCCCGCCGCGCGAAACACAATGAAGAGGAGGATGTACTCACCAAGGTAAGCAGTGTGGTATCCATATTCGCATTGGGCCTTCCCTTGCACTGCATCACACTCTCACACGCGCGGGCACACTGGCACTGCCCTACGTACACTCACGCACACTCACGCACGCGCGCGCTTGCACCCGCAGCGACATCCGTTGGGGTCGTCGGCGGGGTCGTCGGCGAGGTCCGCGTCGTCCGCGCTCAAGGCCCGCGTCGAGGTGGTGGAGCTGGGCAAGGCCTGGCAAGGCCGCGGAGAAGGTGCCTGCTTGCCTGTCCCTGGGTCGCGGCGAGAAAGCACTGACACTGCCAAGCCGAGCGGGCGGCCACGGCCACGGCCACGCGGCCAGCCCGGCCAGCCCTCGCCTTGGAGAAAGGAAAGGGAAGGGAGAAGGGAGGGGGCACGTTCCGGCTGCGGCGGGGCGCGGGAAGGCGCGGGGCACTGCGAGACGAGCCCGCCGAGGCGGCTGGAGGCCCTCCGCGTCCCTCCGCGTCCCTCCGCGGCCCAACGCGGCCCCCCACTTCCCCTTTCAACGCCCCCGTTTCCTACATTACTCTATCGGCGCGGCGCCGATGCAGCCAATACAGTGCAGCAGCGCGCGCTTCCACGGTTCCACGCACTGCGGTGTACCACGGTGTACTAGTACACACGACAGTGGGCCAGAAGACCGGCGGAGGCGGCCAAAATTCGAGACGCGTTTTGAGCTCCAGAGTCGCTAAACAGGACTCGAACCGCGAACGTGTGACCCCACCAATGGATTCCTCGTTTGGAGAGCAATCCATTGGTGGGGTCACACGTTCGGTTCGAGTCCCATTTAGCGACTCTGGAGCTCAAAACGCGTCTGGAGTTTTGGCCGCCTCCACCGGTCTTCTGGCCCACTGTGCGTTGGCTGCCGCGTCTCCCTGTTTCACAGAATCGTGATGATGCCCATCTTGCGGACTATCTTCGCATCGCGTCCTTTTACGATTCATTTTTCCCCCGCCCCGACCGGGCTGTCGGTCGATCGGTCGAACTGGGCCAGTCAGGCTGCACCTCACCACCTGGATAGTCTAGTTCCGAGTCTAGTTCGCAGCCGCGGCACTCCACGGCAAACCAAAACAGATCATCTCTCCGGCGCGGCGGGCCTGACGGCCTGACCGAGGATGCTGTGCCTGGCCGTGCCCGTTCCCCCGAGCGAGATCATTCACAGCACGGGGCCGCGCCGCCGCCGCCGTCGTCCGGCCGGCTCAAAAAGCCATCCGCCGGGAGGGGGGATCGAACCCGCGACCGTTATGTTACCGGCTCGTGCCGCGCACAGCGACGCACGGCGACGCACGGCCGCAGAGAGGTGCGAGCGGTTTTTGCGACCGGCTGGCTGGCGACGGCGACCTCTCCGCCGCGATGCCGCGACGGCGCGGCCGTCCGTGGAGACTGGAACGCACGGCGCGGCGCAGCCATGGCAGCACGTCGCCCGGTCGCACTCATGCAAGCAGCCTGAGGGTCGTTTTCGTCTCTCTCGCACCGGTAGGGGACGGCCCGTGAGTGCCAGAGAGGCAGACTTTGGATCTCAGGCGGAAGGGAGACAGCGCCGCGAGTGCGTTGAGTGCAGTGCGCCTAGAGCGGCTAGAGGGCAGTGGGCCAGAAGACCGGTGGAGGCGGCCAAAACTCTAGACGCGTTTTGAGCTCCAGAGTCGCTAAATGGGACTCGAACCGAACGTGTGACCCCACCAATGGACTCCTCGTTCGGAGAGCAATCCATTGGTGGGGTCACACGTTCGGTTCGAGTCCCATTTAGCCGTGCTCGGGTAACGGGCGTCCGATCGCGGCTCTACGTGGTCTCCGCGTTGCGTCCCGTGAGACGGAGACCCTCATTCATAGATTCGGTCCCCTTGACGGCGCCTGCAAGTCGAGGCTAGGCATTCCCGCCGGGCACGCCTGCCTGCCGCGCTGCCTACCCGCCGCACCGCAGGCGGCGGGCCAGCGAGAGAAGACTTGTCTTTCCTGCAATTGAGCCGCTTTTGTGAGCCTGGCGACTTGGCTGTGACTTGCAGCCCCGTGTACACTGAGCGTGCTGTTTGTTTTTGTCCCCGGTCCCCGGCGAGACGGATCGTGCCCAGTCCAGTCACTGGACGCTAGCGGCAAGTCTGCCCTGCCATGTCCAGCACACTGATCCCAGACGCGTCCGGTGACGGGACGGGACGGGCTGCCCGCTGCCACATGTCATCGCCTGGCATTGCCGTGCGACATCAACGGTCAGTGGCCTCGCCTCACTTGCCGCCCAGCCGATCAAAGGAAAAAGAAATCCTGTAACTTGACGGTGACTTTGTGCCACAGTGTCTCTCTCATTGTACAATCATTGGGGGAAAGAAAGAAATATTTGATCGAAAAATTACTTTATTACCTATAACTATCGAATAGGTAATGTACACAACATGCAATCTTGTGCTTCGAACAATCAGGGAAAAAATACAATTAGGAACATGGAGATTCTTTCTCTGTCATCAAAGCTCATACTCTTTCTTCAAATTTTCTAAAACATCAGTGGGAGTCTTCTCTAAATTCTGAGTGTGCTTGAATAGTACCTCCATATCTGAGAAGAGAAACATATGACCAATATTAGTAAGCTGGAAAATGTGAAGGTCGCAAATAATGGTCTGTTTCAAAGGCAAAACTTACTGCTCTTATCAGACTGGGACAAGAATAGAGTGAGAGTACGGAAGCGCCGAACTTGGGTGAGTCCTTGCAGATAAGCTAAAACAGGTTCATTAGCGGCAACAAATTCAGTTGCCAGTACACTCAGTATCTGACTGAGAATATTTCCATCCAGGGAATCTTGGAATATTTTTGGAAAATCCTGCCCATTAATTTTCTGAAACAAGGAAAAACACAGCAGAAATTAGATTTCATCAGAATAAATGGAAAAGTCAGGTATTTACTCCGGTTAAAACCTAATAACTGACCTTCAAATATTGGAAACACATCTCCTTATTAAGGTTCATTTGTCTCCACGCACCTAAAAATTGGACAGAGTTTTTAGGAATGGGAGGAACTTCTTTGGGTAAAGAGCTTGTGACATATGGTGATTTTGAAGTTGGAGGGGTACTGCTGCTTGCACCACTTTGTATGACAGAGGGTGCATCTGATTTGACTTCACATTTGGTCTTCAATTCTAAATTTTTTTTAGTTGCATGCTGCGAATTTGTCTTATTTGAAGTGTCAGTGGCAGACGTTACAGCCTCGAAAGAAGAAGTGGTAGCTCCAATGTTGGCACTTTCTTGTACCTGGACTCTCACAAGTGGCTTCTGTAAGAATAGATTCAAGCATATGGTGATCTCAAAGGAAACTCGAAGGAAAATGACAGGTGTATTAGAATTGAGGATAAAACCTTTGAACGCTTGTGTGGAGGAATGATGACAGGCTCAATAACAACACTATTTTCAACCGTTGGCCAGGTTATAGAGTTTGAAGAAGTATCTTTCTTTGTTGTGGTAGGGATTCGATGCTTCTTTGCTGGTAATATTGGGTCAGGATTTTTGTCTGAGCCTATGTCCATCATAACTTCAGCTTCAGTTTCAAGTCTCTGAGCTTCCTGAATCAGTATGGTATTTATTCTAATTTGGTCAACTTTCATTTTGACTGAGTTGAAATCTCGAGCTATAGCAGTGTTATTGGGCTCTAAATCAAAAGCACGCTTCAAATCTTCCAAGGCTTCATCCAACTGGCTCAGTTCTTTCCTAGCTAAACCTCGCCTATGGAGGGCCTTGACATATGAACCATCAAGAGTAAGTGCAGAGGTGCAGTCGGTCTCAGCAGCACGATAACTATGGACAGTCAAAATTTTAACACAAAATTACGAAAACAGCTGAGAAATGTGACAGAAAGAAAATACCACAAAGAATTGCTTACTCTTTCTTTTTAAGATAACACAGAGCTCTATTGCAATAAAAAATAGCATCTTGGGAAAAGCACTTAATTGCTTTACTGTAGCATTCAATTGCATTATCCCACTTTTCCTTCTTGACAAATTGATTACCCTGGAATTAAAAATTTATGTCTATTGGTACTTATCAATGTTCACTCTACAAAGTAAATCAATTTCATTTCATACCTTCTCTTTTTCCTCATTTGCCTCATCTCTAAGTTGGTTTTCTCTAATAATTTTATCTTTATCAGATTCAGATTTCTTTTTCAGTGATGGATCATCTATTTCTTCGCATGCTTTCTCCTGAAAAGACAGAATTTTTTAAAATAAAAATATCACTTTGGCGACTAAAGGCTAAACTTTGACAAAGTTTTATATTTCTCACCACATCAAATTTTTCCCAAGCAGCATAATCATTTGAAGAAATACGTTTCTTTGCACTGCGGGAGTCACCTAACGGATTAGCTGTTTTGCTATTGTTTAAGTCCTGTTTCACAGAGGAGTTCCGTACTGGTGGTAGAGACTAGATGGAATAATAATAGCATGATTAATTTACCTATCAAGGAAAAATCAACTAATTTGAAGCGAATATTACTTACACTTTCCTTTGAAGCAGCAGCTCGAGCGGTAGACTCTTTTCGCTTCATTTCTTCTTCCCAATTGCTGAGATCGGACACAAATTTTCTCACGTCCTCTGCGTTATCTTTGATCTGCTTCTGCAATTCGATTGAAGGGTTCATAGCCTAGAAGAGAACATGGGCGAAAACATCAGCACTTTAGTAAAAATGAAAACGAGCAAGAAAAATAGTTAAAAAAATACACCAGGGATGCGGAATCACATGTGTTTCTGTTCAGGTTCATGAAGAACCTAACCCACGTTAGGATGACGTTTGCCTATCACTGGAAGTCATTCCATTCCCCACAACGTCGGAAAATCCATCTGTACGAAAATATTACCTGAAGAGTACTAATTTAGGCCAGAGACAAGGGAGAAAATACGCCTAAAGCGTTCCAATGGGGATTCAACTGAGCGCAAACAAGAACTACCACAGCTACTACCACCTGACTGGAATGGCTTGAACAAGAGAACAAGACACTAAATGGCAAGACAATCTTGTCGCAAGCTGTCCATAAAAACTGCTCTTCAAATCAGGCCCTGAATTACTTTCAAGCTTCAAAGAAAACTTGTCACCTGTCTCGACCGTGTTTATTGTTGTAAACAAAACACTCGCGCAGGGACTTCAGCCAGCTCCACGGTCAAGTTTTTCTCGTGGTCTGTAGTCATCTATAGACTTTTTGCACAATCTTGCGTTACCGAGCGAAGACCATTCCATTTTCACGCAAAAGAGAAACTTGTTGCACATAGCGAAGCATTTAACCACCGTTCACCATGGTACGTCAAGCGAAGAATAGCTACGTCAATTTACTAATTGTGACAGTCTGACATAACCTCACAAACTATACTAGTTAATCCTTTGGAGAAAATTCTACAAGCTGAAACTCATCCCTTCGGTGTTTATTGGTTCTCTACTCAATTTCATACCTTAAAAATTTGATTGGGTGTGTTGAAAAGTCTCTTTTCTGTCCTTATCGACATTTTTCTTGCGCGTGCAAGTGTGGTTGTGTTGTGATAATGATTGAATCCAAAATATTATCTTTGTTTTTATACAAAAATCTTTTATTTTCGGTACTCCTAGCGTTGATGCAATTCTGAATGCCAAGAAAATGTTGATGTGCAAGCAAGGAGTTGATTGTCCAGTCTTCCATTACTTTCTAGTGTGAGATCGAACATTAAGTGCGTCTTTTCCTCCTAATAACTTGCACCATTTTTGCCTTTCACAGTCTGTGGCTGAGTTTTTAAATGGATTACCTTCGTATAATGAGAACAATTTTACACGCTTCCACTCTGACAATGGAAGTCGTACAAGTGTGAAGCGGCCCTCTGTCTACCTGCCTACCAAAGAGTATCCATCAGAACAAAGTATGTTTCCTTCATCTGAATCACCTTGAATTATTTATAGAGTGCCTAATTAATCTAAAAAAATGTTTTTATGTACAACAGTTATTGTTACTGAGAAAACCAATATCCTTCTAAGATACCTTCACCAACAATGGGACAAGAAGGTAAGAGTAATCCTCACTTGCTCTTTGTTAGGTGCAGTTGTTTGAATATTCACTTAATTTTTGTCATTCAAATTTCCAGAGCCTCCAAAAGAAGCGAGATGGTGTGGATGCTGGAGAGGACTTTACCTGCCCCTCTCGCAAACGACCCCGAATGGAAAATGGATCTGCATCAGCAGCACCATGATCAGAGTCGTCTGACGTTTGGGACACATTTGCCCTCATCTCATCCACCTGCTGGCCAAGTTGTCCCTGTCTTCATGTGTAAAAATGACCTATCAGCTGATGGGCAAAGTGTTTTTGTGAACTGAATTTTGTACAAGGACAGTTTGATTTTTTGACTCCAAATGTAATGAATATTACCTCATTTGTACCTCAGAATTCAAACAGGAAATTTTTTCTCAGGAAGTAAGTGAAAATTTAGTTGGTGTTTTATTTATTTATTTTCAGTCTTCCCCAGAACCTGCCAAAATGAGAATCCTTAGCTTACAGCCTAATACAGCTACTGAGCGAATAATTGGCTATTCTTTTCTGTTGAATCCATCAATATTCTAGTGTTGCATCCCGAAGACCTTTGTAAATTTCTTGTATAGATGTGTACATATTAAGCTTGCCCATACCTTGCTATCATTTTCATGGCACAGTTTTTTACACTATCAATATGAGTGTTCTACACTGTGGTATTGATTATGGTAACTCGAGTATGGTCAACATCTTCTCATAGGCAGTGTGTTTGTTTAGAAATTAATGAAAATACAGATTCAACCTAGCTGGTTTACCGATGTCATAAGTTCTATTTGAAATTGTACCAACTACTTATGCAGCTCTCTGATGTGACTTACTAAATGCTCTCCCTCCAGTCTCTATATTTTGGCAAAAGCAAATAATCAAGTCAAATTTTCTTGTACCATTACAAGTGTAATAGTAATAAATGATATGTGAGTAGCATCCAATGATCCTCTGCATTTAACTTTCAGTATGTGACTGCCAATCAACCCATTGCCTTTTGCTAATTGGAAACTGATAAGCTGCTATGTTCATTTATCTAGTTATTGTGTCTGTGTGTGAAAATCTTTCTTTACAAAAGGTTAAGCAGTCTTCTGGTGTGATATATAAATAACATTTTTTTAAAACAAAACTAAAAAAAAAAGAAGAAAAAACAAGGATGCAGTTGACATGTAAACTTGTCGCAGCCCCCCCTGTGATGTTGGCTGTTTCTTGCATGAGTTGTGGCCGTTCCGCTCTACATTGCACAAATTATGCATTTTTTGTGTCCTGTGCATCTGAGTTTAATATATCTTAAAAAAATATTTCTCTCAAAAATTGATTGTAACTTGGCGTAATAACCATCAATACTGTGGATTCCACCTGGGTGTAATAAGGATTGCCTTCATGTGTTGGGTGGTTGTGAGACATGTCTGTCTGTGTGCTCTTAGATATATGTTGCTCATTGTATATATTATTTACATTCGGAAATTCCGAAACCTATTGCTGATTTTTTTAAATTGGTTACAGATCTAGATTTCACAATTTCTTTTATGGATCCTTTGTCGTTAAATTAATGAAATGCAATCTGTATTATGCTCTTTTGCAATAGAATGTGCTAGACCATGTGTCTATAATATTGAATACATCCCAATTCTTGCTGTGATTTATTTTCTGTATTATTTCCCTTGATTTTGTTTAGCACATTATGCACAATTATTAAGAAACATTTTCCATAGGAAGGCGTCAGTTGCCAATTATGTGGTCGGTCACATTTAGTGATCAGGTGTGATGACCCATGAAATGTTTTCAATAAAGACTTTTGTGTTCAACATCAGATCTCACTACCTCTCTTGTTTCTTCTGGGCTTTCTGATTGAAAAGGCTGTGTAACACCTTTTGCCTACTTTCTTTCCAGAGTGCAAGTTGCATACCCATCAGGCACGCCTGGGAAGGATTGAAAGACCTGTGAATCTGGCCCACCCAACCCAATCGACATTTGCGGGTTTCACCGCTTCTCCTTGGCTTCCCAGTGGAATATGATGACGAAAGTGTCAAGCTGAGCAAACCCTCCCTTCCCTTCTGTTTCCTCTAAGGGTGGCTTTTTACTCCGAAACAACGCTTCCCATCCAAACAACGAAGTTTATCAGACGAGCGGCGGAGCGACTACCTCGACGCCGATTGAGTGCATAATCTAAGTCACTGGATCTTGAAAATAATCCCCCAAATAGCGTTAACATTTAAATCACTTTTAGATCACTCTGCCCCACATCTGTCAAGGTGGAGATAATATGTGCTATACTTGTTTCTACCATGCAACACTACAGGTGAGCAAGTGCGACTCCTCATTATATTATGCTCGTATGTTGTGTTTGATATGTGGTCAGTCGTAGTTAGGTAAGGCAGTAAATAATTACAGAAAAAGTGTAGAAAAGGGGGAAAAAATCATGTATTATTTTTCCATAGGTTGAGGGAACAAACAATATTTAAGTAAAACCTAAACACAGGCCACACACACAGAAGTAAAAATACTGAGATGCACAATTGAGTTAACACATCTTAAAGGTAAAATTAGATTGGCAAAGATGTTGTATAGAATGCCACATTTTTAAAAAGAGCCATATCATATGAATTTACTGGTGTATCTTCACCATTAGTATATGGACATGCAAACATTTCAGAAAAATATGCAGGGGCAGGCAATAATATCATTGGATTTTAAATAATTAACTGGTGTACATTATTGTAATTGTTAAAATGGCCCACTTTTGATGTGACTTAAAAGCTCTTCGATTTTGACTAAACATATTTAGTCTTGAATAAAATGGCAAGTAAATTAGAGAGAGTCGGACAGTGAGCAGAGTTTACCAATGACAAACACTTCACATCACATCTATAAATTACAAACGCTGAGTTGTGTTGTCTTGGTTCCAGTTAAATCTATGTATTGGCACTAGAATACATACACATAACACGTAGTATCTACAGAGAAATAAATATTTGTACAAAAGCAGCTGTGCTTTACGAAATAAAATGAGAAGTAAAGCACAAGCAACCAGATTTAACTGTCTTTTGTTTTGCCTCTAATGTCAGAGATTCTTTTTCTTGATGACACTTCTATTTTTAAATTTTTTCTTTGACTGGTAAGAATACTGAGAAAATTTTCAGAGATACAATTTATCACACAGTATATCATGAATGTTTGAGAAAAAGAAAGCATAAGGAAAACACCAATTTTCTGGTTTAGTAATACTTTGGAAAGCAGAATAAGAACTCACACTGGGTCTGTTCATGCCTTTGCCAACAACATGGCAATATTGAGTTCATAATTCAAAACTGGAACTGTTCAGCACTGTTTAGAAGAACCACCAAGCAATGCAGAGCAGTTTACAAACAGTTCACTTTGGTCTGAGCAACACAAGTAGATGAAGTTTCAAAACCATACACAAATAAATAGTTCTTTGGAATCCCTCTCTCAGATTCTGAAATAGGTAATAAAAATATCTTTACTCTACAAAATTTAAGCTTAATATTGCATTGTTAATACCAGGACCTTCAAGTCTTTTAAAAGAAACTTAAGCTACATTTGCTTTGGTTCCACAGAAAATTGTGAGACTAATATACCTAATAAAATTACATGATTGACAAGCCCTAGTGGCAGTTTTCATACACAAAGAGACAAACATGCAATCAATCATAAAAATAAATAAAGTGCTTTCCAATATTAGTCAATAAATGGTACGAATACAAGACTACATTATTAATATGAAAAGTACGTTCCCTTTTCTATATCCCATCTGAAATTTTGAGATTACATACATTCCAGTCTTTTCTGCAAGAGAAATGCTGGCGAGTGAAAATGACTTCCACTAGATGACAAACAAGGTTGGGAAAACTACACTAAGATACATTTTTGAAAGAAGAAAACAAAAACATTGAATTGAGTTAGTAGTACACGGTTTAAGATAAACTTTACAACACACAAGAAACTTAACAAGAAACACACTAACAAGAATACTTGTCTCTCACATTCAAGCTCAAATTCACACAGCACTTAAAAGAATAGTGATGCTAAAACAGCAGATTTTGGGATGGTAACACTGGTATAGATTCCCACTGTATCTACTTATAACAGCATCCTTGAAGTAAACAAATTCACAAATAAATGAAATACGATGAGATGAATGAGAAATGGTCATGCAATAAGTTTGTAACATCTTAAAGGCAGCATAAGGAAACTTCTGCTAAATGCATACATTAAAATTAGAGGCCTTTGTCATAAGAGAGGCATGTTCCATTTCACTAAGCTGCAATCATACAATATATCTCTCCATCCAAGAGTGGAGGAGGCACTTGTACGATTTCAGATCAGAAGACTAGTGTTCAATGACCAATAAGAGCACATTGTTTAAAAATGCTGTTTAAAATTTTGAAAGATTATCATTTGTAATACTATAACATCTTATATGGCTAAGATCTGCTAGAGATTCAGAGATCGGGGTTTCAGTGCCGTCTGGATCAGGTACTTGTGGGCTTGCTCTGTTAACTCTAGTTGATCCTGCGTCTTACCACAAGCCACCATCTCCCATCGTACATCAAGCTGAAACAAAAGATTACAAACACTGTAAAATCATTGATCATAATAATAATATAAACTATGACAACAAAAATATTTAGCAAATGATCTTTTAAATTAGTCAACTATTGCTTAGCTATGAGAAAAAAAACCCACAAAAACACAAGTGGCAGAGAGCAAATGAAAAACATTAGTAGGGAGTTAGTGATGCCGTTGCTATGTACCCACAACAATGGGGACGGGAAAAACAAGAGGAAGAGGGTTGGGGGGCATGGGTATGGGGGCATGGGTTGCATAGGGCAAAAAGGTAAATGCAGCAGTAACCGTTTCCTGTAAATTGTTAGTGATACAAATGGTTGGGTTAATGAGTATAAAACAAGAGCTACAGCTGAACACACAAAATATCTGAGATTTTAAGTTATATACTTTGATAGGAGCATAAGAAATGTGTTGAATGCCAAACCAAAGAAACACGAATTGCAACAAACTACTGTGGAATGTTTGTACTCATGCAATTGAACACAAAAGCCAAGTGAAATGCTAATGGAGAATCGGCACATACAGCATGTTAATTTGCTCAATGATCTTGAAGACCTCACCTTCGGCACTCTCAAATCTCTCGCTGGATCTCCAAAGTGAATCCGTTTGACGACAGATTGTTTGCTTGGTGGTGGAGTTGGCAGAGATGGAATATTGCCACTCTGAGGAGGAACAATACAGGCTATACATACATACACACAAGTAGTGCTACAGGCCCCTCCACCTCAAAACGTCAGTAAATCAAACATAACCAGACAGACATGACATCTGTCTTACCAGAAACCACATGTTCCTGCACTGAATAGTGCTAGTTTCTGCAGGACTCATTCAAATGATTAACTGAATTGCATTCCAATTGCCTGAGATTTCAAACAATATGGAAACTATAGAAACCAAGCAGCAACAATCAATTTCATCAGCAAGACAACCATGATAGCCAGGGCTTGACCTGGGAAATCAAAATGGCGCATTCTGCTGAACTTGTTTTTTTCTCTCCCTCACCCTGAGCCTGATTCCATAGACCAATACAGAGGATAGATACAGACTAATGAAGTCTCTTAGAGAGCGGCATTCAACATTCCAATTCAATAGAACTTAAATTTAAAAGAAGGTACGTAAATTAATAGTAACCCACCTTAGTGCTTGGGGATGGAGGTTCATTTACCGGAACCGCAAGAACTTCATCGAGGTCTGTCATGATTGATGGTGGAGAAAACAGTACTGACCGGTCACCAACCAACGACTTACTCTGAAAGCCAACCATAAGAGGGAGTTAAATTAAAACACAGATGAAGGTGGCTGTAGACTGACTATGGTGATCAATGAACGAGTACTTACAGGGGTTTCTACAACAAAGGAACAAGATGGTGAAAATGTCACCGATCGTTCAGCCGTCAAAGATTTGCTCTGAAAGAGTAATACGACTGATTAATGATTAATCAACTAGGTTCAATAGAAACATGCTTGTAAAGGAAAGAATACTCACGGGTGATTCTACGACGAAAGAAGGGTCCGTTACACCCGGAACACTGATGTTTCCCGGCGTGCTCCATGAAGGTGCGAGTGCTTTCCTTACTTTTTTGTTTGGAACATTTTCCTTGCCTACTGGAGTAGCACTGCGTCGCTTAGCGAGTCCAACATAGCCGCTGTCTTGCAGAGAATCCTGATAGGTATAATTTATCATGCTGGCCGTATCAGTTTCATACTGCGAATCCGACAAATCTGGTTGTTCTTTCTTCATCAACTCATCAATGTCCTCAAGTCGAGTAGGTGTTTGAGGCTACAAAAGAATTTTCAACATATTGAATTCACAACAAACATTTCCCCCATAAATCCAAATTTTAAAACAAAGCATTGATGCAACTAACCAAGTTCTTCATTGCTCCATTTTTCTTCTCAAGTTTGGCTAAGGCATCCTTGAAAGGCGTGGGAGTCCTGGGCTGCGTCAATTTGTTCTTACGATTTGGAGTTGAGTCATTACTACTGGGCTCTGAAGGCTGCTCCACATTTTCAGCAGCAGCGTTGATTCTGGCCATCCGTTGCCTTGCAGCTTGGTGAACTGGAAGCAGTTCTGGAGTACTTAACGGCCCGGGGCTGCCTTCCCTGTCCCTGTCTCCCTCACGGTTCAGAGGTGTTGATTGGGCAGCGACTAAGTTCCGTCGAACAGGTGTTCCAGTCAACGATATTTCCATTAAATTGGGTGTATTTAAAAACTACATGGAGAAGGAGAAAAAAACGTTCCTGTTAGACTTTAGTAGGAAAAACACAAGACAACAGAGCCAAGAGGCACATGAACAAACCTGTGAAGGACTGAATGGTACTTGTTTGATAGGGGTGGCTTGCCTATCTGGGGACCCTATTGACACTCCAAGACCACTACTCTGCATCTAGAAAATAGATAAAATGGTAAGTCAAAGGAAAGAGAAACAACTACACTTTAATACATTTGTGGTACTTACCGACTGAGTTGGGGGTGAAGTTAGGGCATAATCTGAAGATAGTTCAGAATCTTGAGGGTGAAAGCTAACAATATCATGTTTGAATTCAGGAGACTCTGTACAAAATGGAGTAACTGCAAGTAACTGCATCTGACCAAAGGCTTTAAAAAAAAAGAAATAAGAATAATAAAAATTACGGTTTTGAATAGGATAAAAATAATTATTGAGAGAGAGCGAGCGATAGTGCTTACTGCTAATAGGTTCCTTTTTCGGTGAGATTTTCATTGCATCCAACTCATTGTAACCTTCATCTGAAGGACTAGATTGCATACTCAAATACCTGAAAATGGAAAAAGTAAAACCATGAAACTGAAGTTCAGCGTTTGGGTCACACTCCCGGTGACAAATAAACTCACTTGAATGGTGAGAATGGGTCCGGCGAGTCCTCCAGCTTGATTCCCCCAAACACTTGCATGCGCGACGTTGACGTTGACGTCCTCTGCTGCGGCTGAGGCGTCAGCAACTGCTGGTGCAGCGGGCTGTCGGCGGGCACTGGGCTGCCCGTCGAGCCGCGGCTCGGTGCTTGCTCGTACACTTCAGGCGACGACCACTCCGAGCTCTGCAACGAGGAGAAGCCAGCGCGCGCGTTACCACACAAGTCGGTTCGGTGGGGTCCGAAGGAAAGCACTCCACTCCACTCGACTCACCTCGTACGCGTGCAGGCCGTACTCAGTGAACAGGAACCTGCTGCCGGAGGAGCCGGAGGAGCCGGAGGACGCGGTGGTGGTCGTGGTGGTGTTGCTGACCGGCGTGGGCTGCAGGGCGGGGTAGGCCATGGGCGTCTTGCCGGCGCCGCGCGACATGGTGGACGCCACCAAGGCCGTGCCCTGGGTGCCCTGGGCGGCCTGCCCCTGCGACGACGCCAGGGCCACCCCGCAGCGCCGCGACGCACCGCGGCCCCGTCCGCGACCCGTGGACTCGGCGCGGAGCTCCGGGTCGAACTTGCGCCTCATGGTGGAGTTCCAGTGGTTCTTGATGGCGTTGTCCGTGCGGCCGGGCAGCAGCTTGGCGATGCGCGCCCACTGGTTGCCGTACTGGCGGTGCGCCTGGTAGATGATCTTGTCCTCCTCCTCGGTCCAGGCCGTCTTCTTGATCTTGGGGTTGAGGTGGTTGTGCCAGCGCTCGCGGCACTGCTTGCCGATGCGGCCCTTGAGGTGCCGCGCGATCAGCGTCCACTTCTTGGGCCCGTACCGCACCACCAGCTCCAGCACCTTCTCGTCCTCCTGGAAAGGGGCGCGAAGGGCAACGTGAGCAGACTGCCGCACAGTGGGCCAGAAGACCGCTGGAGGCGACCCAAAATTCCAGGAGGGTTTCGAGCTCCATAGTAGCTAAATCGGACTCGAACCGAGCGTTTGATCCCATCAATGCATTCCTCCTTCAGAGAGGAATCCATTGGTGGGGTCACACGCTCGGTTCCAGTCCTGCTTAGCGACTCTGGAGCTCAAAACGCGTCCAGAGTTTTGGCCGCCTGCGCCGGTGTTTTAGCCCACTGTGCACCATGAGTTGAATTGGAGGCATAGACGAGTGCCACTGCACCGCGTACTGCACCGCGTACTGCACCGCGTACTGCACCGCGTACCTCCTTGGTCCAGGGCCCCTTGACGAGCGCCGGGTTGACCACCTTGAGCCAGCGCTGCTGGCACTGCACGTCGGAGCGGTCCGGGAAGTTGCTGGCGATCATCTCCCAGTTCTCGCTGTGCTCCTCGACCAGCGTCTTGAGCAGGGCGTCCTGTGGGGGCAGGGCAGAGTCGTCGAGTTAGGCGCCGTTCGCCCACGGGGCCTGGGGGGCGCCCCACAGTGGGCCGGAAGACCGGTGGAGGCGGCCAAAATTCTAGACGCGTTTTCAGCTCCAGAGTCGCTAAACAGGACTTGAACTAAGCGTGTGACCCCATCAATGGATTCCTCGTTCGGAGAGCAATCCATTGATGGGGTCACGCGCTCGGTTCGATTCCCATTTAGCGACTCTGGAGCTCGAAACGCGTCTTGAGTTTTGGCCGCCTCCGCCGGTCTTCTGGCCCACTGTGCGCCCCACGAGTGCGAGAGAGACGGAGGGAGCAGGCGCTTTAGGCACGGCCCCCCGCCGTCGGCCACGTTCGGCGACGTTTGCGCAAGACGTGCTCCCTGGTCGCTGCTCGCCCCACCGCATCCTCTGCCTCGCTCTGCTCGCGAGGCGAGGGGCGAGGGGTGAGCCGTGAGCCGCTTGCCACTCTCCCCTTAGCGAGCCGCGCCTTGGCCGCCTTGGCGTCTGCAGCGTCTCCTTGGCGTCGGCCACGACGGCCACGCCGCGGCCCAGGTAAGGGAGGGACGCCGCGCCGCGCCGCACCGCGAGGGGAGGGAAATGCAAGATCCGGACAGAGTGCTGCAATGCCCGCCGCGCCGCCCGGCTTTTGTTCTTGCCGGCATTGTCATGCACCGGGATGGGGGGTTGGGGTTGGCCAACGCAACCAGCCCAGCCCGCCCGGCCCGTCGAGGGGAGCGGCGACAGCGAGACAGCGCGCCTCTCCTCGCCAACCCCATCCACCATCCCGAGCCTCCGAGCCGCAGATAATCTAATGAAGGATCGCGAGGCGAGGGGAACTTTCGGCAACAAACATTTCCCCCCTTTTTCAATTAAAACAAGCATTGTCCGGCCTAGAGGCGGCATGCAGCTTTTCGACAAGACCGCGGGCCCACAGTGGGCCAGAAGACCGGCGCCGGCGGCCTAAACTCAAGACGCGTTTCGAGCTCCAGAGTCGCTAAATGGGACTCGAACCGAACGTGTGACCCCACCGATGGATTCCTCGTTCGGAGAGCAATCCATTGGTGGGGTCACACGTTCGGTTCGAGTCCTGTTTAGCGACTCTGGAGCTCAAAGCGCGTTGTTGGCCGCCTGCTCCGGTCTTCTGGCCCACTAGAAACGGGGCGACAACGCGTTGCTACGTACCTCCTCCTTGGTCCATCGGCCCTTGTTGACGGCCTTCCTGCCAGCCGCGCCGCTGGCGCTCAGGGACGTCGTCAGCTCGTCGACGGCCGACTCGTCGGAGAGCTCGTCGCTGGACGAACTCTCGTAGCCGGACCGGGAGCTGCAACAAAACGCAGTGAGGTTAGGGGGGCCGATCGGTGGGGCAGGGCGATGACTCGGCCTGGAGGAGGGCCTGCACGACGTCCTGCACGACGTCCTGGACGGGGGCAGCACCGGCAGCACGCGGGCGCGTCTCGTTCCGCGCCGCTGGAGAAGGTGTCCGCAGGCTCGAGGCTCCCCGGCCCGGCCGCCCCGGCGTTCGTTCCAGTGGCCGCCCCGGCCGCCCCCAGCCCTCACATCCGGCGCAGGCAGGCAACAGTCGTCTCGTCGCTCTGTCTCTCTCGCGCCGCCACGGCACGGCCCACGAGTGCGACAGAGGCAGCGCGGCCAGAGGCAGCGCCCCAGCGCCACCCCGTTCGGAGTCACCTGGACGACTTTCCTGCAGCGCGTCGTTTCCACTCCGCTGCGCCAGGCCTCGGCAAGGAGGGTCTTTATCATCCCCGGGATGCCCTCCCTCCAGGCCGCCAGGCCGCCGCCGGAAGCAGCCAAGATTTCGGACTCACTTCCTCCCCGCGTCGCTCACCTAAGCGCCGCACAGTGGGCCAGAAGACCGGAGGAGGCGGCCAAGAATCCCGGACGCGTTTTGAGCTCCAGAGTCGCTAAATGGCACTCGGACCGAACGTGTGACCCCACCAATGGAATGCTCTCCGAACGGGGAATCCATTGGTGGGGTCACACGTTCGGTTCGAGTCCTGTTTAGCGACTCTGGAGCTCAAAACGCGACTGGTGTTTTGGCCGCCTACACCGGTCTTCTGGCCCACTGTTCTACGCTCGGCCCCCTCACACACACACACAAGTCCCCCACGCACGCACAGACTCACACGCAAATCAGGCAAGTTCACTGCGGCACGGTACACACACTTCACCCCCCGTGCAAACCCAATCATCGCAGCGTGTCAGGCCGCGTTGCAGATTCCCAAAGCAACACAGTACAAATATATACACTAGAAAGCCTCAACGAAAAAAAAAGAAAGAAAAAGATGAAAACAAAAACACACAAACGCAAAAAAAGGGAACAAAATTAGAAAAGCTAAAGTTGAGACGGAGAGAAGCACAACTCCACTGATCCACACCTGCAGCGCTCGGTTTGCTCGCTTTGCTCGCTTTGCTCGGCGCGCTCGCTCGGCTCGGGGCGCTCCACCACGGTGACCGTGCGTTGGAAGCGCCGGCCGCCACCATGGCCCTGGCGGTGCAGGACGTCGTACGGGAACGACCTGGCGGAAAACAGGGTCAAACACACTGCAAGCGCACGGCCTCACCGCACGGCCTCATTGGGCACCAGCCTCCCAGCGCCTGCACTGCTTGCAATGCTTGCACCCAAGGGCTCGGACTTTCTCAGGGCGCTCTCTTCACCCTCGCAATCGAACCACACGTGCCCGGCACCACACAGAGGGCCAGAAGATCGGCGGAGGCGGCCAAAACTCCACACGCGTTGTGAGCTCCAGAGTCGCTGAATGGGACTAGAACCGAACGTGTGACCCCATCAATGGATTGCTCTCCGAACGAGCAATTCACTGGTGGGGTCACACGTTCGGTTCGAGTCCTGCTTAGCGACTCTGGAGCTCACAACGCGTGTGGAGTTTTGGCCGTCTCCGCCGGTCTTCTGGCCCACTGTGCAGCACCACCGGGAACGTCAAGCACACGCTTCTCGTGTTTTCCAAATTTTCGTTTGTATTTTTGTTATCATGCGTTTGTATTGATGAACCCAAAGTACAAGACAAGTGCGTGTACCAGCTGAGCCTGCCTGTGCTTCTCGGCCCGGCCCGCATTCAAATGGCGGCCCCGCCCCGCCCCACCCCACCCCGCCCCGCCCCGCCCGGTGCGCCGGCGTGGGAAGCAAGGTACGAGGGGTGGTGAACTATGAGGGGGAAGGGGAGGAACGGGCTCCATCCATCCTGGTCACCTTAATGCATAAATTACAGCACAGTGCGGGCGGAGAAACTTTGAGAAAAAAGAAGGGGGAGAGAGACAGACTTGCGGCCAGCATGACGCGACTTGCAAAACTTTATTCAAATTTTGAATTGAACCAACAACACGGGAAACGTTTTGTTTTAGAAGGCATGGTGTCGAGGTGTGCACCCGCCCACAGCAACACTGGCAATACACGCATTTCCCAACGCCGTTTTCAGTTCCACTCTTCTTTTTTTTTGGGGGGGGGGGGAGGGGCTGAGGTGGAAAAAAAAGGCACGACAGGTTTCCCACTGCAGGCATGCCTGCCTTGACTTGCCTCGATATCCCCTTTCATCGATTCCCATTTTTATACTTTTTTTTCATAGAAAAAGGGCCAGGAAAAAAGGGGGAAAACGGGGAGAAATCCGCGGACTGTGGGACAGAAAACATGTTCACTTCACGAGGGGATGGAATTGATGGCGCGAGGGGAATGATGTTGGGTCATCGTGCACCTTGTTGGCCCGGCTGCCCGCCTGACTGCCTGCCTGCCAGGGCAGCCCCCGAGGGAGGGAACCCTAGGGAACCCTACCGTGTTGCCACATCCCAGGTGAGCCGACGGGGATGGGGTGCGAGAGAGAGAGAGAGAGAGAGAGAGAGAGAGAGAGGAGAGAGAGAGAGAGAGGGGGAGAGAGAGAGGGGGAGAGAGAGAGAGGGGAGAGAGAGAGAGAGAGAGAGAGAGAGAGAGAGAGAGAGAGAGAGAGAGAGAGAGAGCGAGAGAGAGAGAGAGAGAGAGAGAGAGGGAGAAAATCTATCGAGATCGGCCACGGCTCGACCGGTCGATGTGTGGGTGGCTGCGCGCTGGACCGGTGCTTGACCGGTGCTTGACCAGTGCGTCGCCCAGGACCAGACTCGAAATTCCCACGAGTAAATCGGCAAGACGAGAGTCGCGGATCAATGCGCGTCCGATCACGCGGCCGCGGCCCGCGGCCGGGGACCAAGACAAAGAGCGGCAGGATCGAAACATGAAGCAAGAAAGAATAAAAAGGGGCGGGGTCACAGGACACGTCTCGCAGTGTAGTGGGGCGCCAGTTGTCTGTCCACCTCCGTGTCAAACTCGAGTTGACATCTGCCACGCCGCGCCACGCCACGCACGCCAGACAGGCTTCACGAAACGGGAGAACGGGACCCCCCCCCCCGCATTTTAAACGCGATTTCTGTATGAATCGGGGTACATGAAAGGCGCCCTTTGTCGCGAGGGGGCTCCTCGCGGCCGGAAGAGGGAGACAGAAGGAGAGAAAAAGAAATCAGAGGCGCTTTTGACTTGCCAAAACAAAACAACAAAAAAAGCGCGCATTATGCTCAAAATGAAAGAGAAAAAAAAAGTTGGGCGTGCTTGAGGGAGCGCGGGGAGAAAAAATTGGAATGATGTCTTACGACTTGGGGGCTTTGTTTTCAGGACTAATCTGGCATACGTCAGTCGTAGAAAACATACAAAAAAATAAATTTAAAAACTTGAAAATATTCTTTAAGTCTATGTACGTGGTGGCAGTATACGTCAGACATAAAAAACATACAAAAAAAATAAATTTAAAAACTTGAAAATATTTTTCAAGTCTATGTACGTGGTGGCAGCACCGAGGCCAACACTGACTGATAAAGGGGCAACGCCCCTTGGGCCGCTACACCGGCGACATTTTATTTGATTGATAGTCCACGCAAACAGACTCAAACGGACACAAAACGACTCCAAGAGCACCGAACGCCGATAAGCCGGCCGTGCTGCAGACCGATTCCCATTCCGCACAGCGCTCTCTCGCTCTCTCTCTCTCTCGCTCTCTCTCTCTCTCTCTCTCTCTCTCTCTCTCTCAATCGCACCAACGCGAGGCACGGACCCTCCCCGCGAGTGCGAGAGAGACACCCGAAGCTCGCCACCGTGCGAACCCGAAAAAAGAGAAGGCCACGGAACACGTCCGCGAGCTACGCGCAATAAAAGCCTGTCTAATGACGCATAGGCTGCGCTCGCTGCGCTGCTGCAATGCTGCAATATGGGAACACGGGGAACAGCTGCCCGCGCGGCCGGAGGGTGGGGGCTATCAGGACATCCGGTACTCGGGGGAGGGGAGGGGAGGGGGGATGTTCTCCAAATTACACATCCTAGCTGTACAAGTGCCCCCTCCCCCCACGCACCCCTATCATTTCCAGAGCAGCGCCCCCCCCCTCCCCCGGCCCGCATCTCGAGCATAATTGGACGCGGAGTGACTGACCAGTGCCCGGCTGCCTGACTGCCGGCCGAAGGGTTGACGGCCCCGTCCCACAGTGCGCCAGCAGCAGAGCGGTGGAGGCGGCCAAAACTCTAGACGCGTTTCGAGCTCCAGAGTCGCTAAATGAGACTCGAACCGAACGTGTGACCCCACCAATGGATTCCTCGTTCGGAGAGCAATCCATTGGTCGGGTCACAAGTCTGGTTCGAGTCCCATTTAGCAACTCTGGAGCTCAAAACGCGTCTGGACTTTTGGTCGCCTCCACCGCTATTCTGCTGGCGCACTGAGGGAATGGCTCTTCCTCTGATCGCACGGCTCCCCGGCTTCCCACGGGAGTGACCGTAGTCACCTCACCGCCAGCCAGGCGAGCTTACAGTGCAGTGCCAGCACCCCGCCGGCCACCCCATCAATGGGCGCCCAAATCGACTCGCAAAAAAACATTTCAAAAACGCCATTCTTTCCCCTTTTTCTCTCCGGCTAATGCACTCGAATGCGCAGCGGACTGATTCCGAGAGTCGCTCTCGTCGCTCTGCCTCTCTCGCACTCACGGGGCGTCCCGTGTGGGTGCGAGAGAGACAGAGCGACGAAAACGACTGTCAGTCTGCAGTGCGGTGCATGCAGTTGGTGTGCAGGGCGGGCCCAAGGGGCGGGCCTCCAGACAGATGCACCCCCCCCCCCCGACACGCCCCCGCGACAGATGCCAGCACGCACGCGGCACGCACCGTGAGGGGGAGGAAGGGGTCTGAGCGCCAAAGCCGAAACACCCCCTCCAAATCTGACGCCCCATTGCCCTCCGCGTGCGGCTTGACACATTCGCAGTGCAGCAGCGGCCCGCTTGGCGACACTCTCACTTCCTCTTCCGGCAGTCCGGGGCCCCCCCGGGCCCCACCCGGGCCCACCTGGGGCCCACCTGGCCCGGCCACGGGTGCCACCCCGCCTGCCTCCCCCGTACTCACGCGGCACGAGAGCGAGAGAGACGGAGCGTGGTGGAGTGCCTCCGTCTGTCACCAGCGTGCAAGTCTCCGCGGAGCTAGCGCGTCCAGCTGCACGCCTTGCTGCGTCTGGCCCCTGGCACGCAGGCCTCACTCGCAGTGCGCCAGCTGGAGACGCCTGGAGACCGGCGGTGCCGTTCCAGTCGGACCATCCGGACAGTGGGCCAGGAGACCGGTGGAAGCGGTCGAAATCCCGGACGCGTTTTGAGCCCCAGAGTCGCTAAACGGGACTCGAACCGAGCGTGTGACCCCACCAATGGATTCCTCGTTCGGAGAGCATCCATTGGTGGGGTCACACGTTCGGTTCGAGTCCCATTTAGCGACTCTGGAGCTCAAAACGCCTCCGCGCGTCGACGTCGGCGACGTCCACCCTCGGCGAAGTCAACGGCGCCGCGACACGTGCAGCTCAAAGCGTAACGGTCGCCCCGCGTCTCCGCCACCCACTCGTGCGTCTGTCTCTCTCGCACCCCTGCGGCCCGCCGGCCCGCCCCGCGAGAGCGAGTGAGACAGACGGCGTCAGACGGCGTCGCTGCTGGCGCCGCCGCGCGGACCCGGGGGGTGCGGCCTCCCCCTCGCGGCCTGGCTGGCCTGGCGGGGCGGCACAGTGGGCCAGAAGACCGGCGGAGGCGGCCAAAACCCTAGACGCGTTTTGAGCTCCAGAGTCGCTAAAGGGACTCGAACCGAACGTGTGACCCCACCAATGGATTGCTCTCCGAACGAGGAATCCATTGGTGGGGTCACACGTTCGGTTCGAGTCCCATTTAGCGACTCTGGAGCTCAAAACGCGTCTAGAGTTTCGGCCGGCTGCCGGTCTTCTGGCCCACTGTGGGCGGGGTGGAGCCGCGCCGGGCCGCGCTCCCCTAGTCCGTGTTTGTGCACGTGTTGAGGCATCTGGCGGCCCGCATCGCGTCGCACCGCGCCGCACCGCGCATCGCGAGGGGGAGTGGCACAGTGGCGCGGCGCACTCACACCGCGAGTCTCTGTCTCTCTCGCACTCGCGGGGCGACCCGAAGGGGTGCGAGGGAGACGGAGCGACGAGAACGACTCTCGGAATCCGCGGGCCGAGTGTGT